TTTCCTGGACCCACCCCCCCCTTTCCGGTTGAACCCCAACCGGAACCCGATGGCCCGACACCCCCCCCCCCACTCCGAAATACCTCCCCAGCTCCACAAATACACAGCCACCCAAATCTTTTTTCCTGGAGCGAGCCCGTTCGGCCCCCTCACCTATTGCCTCTGCCCCCCCAACTAACCACCCTCCCCGCGCCCCTCCCCCATTTCCCCCCACAGGCGAAAAATACCCACTTCGCCCCCACCCCCCCTCTCCTTACCGCCCACCCGGTACATATTGGCCGCCATGGCGCCTCTGGGGCCCTGCGACGACGACTCCCGGCCCGGCGCGGCCCCCTCAGGAACTCCGGGCCCGGCTGCTCTTCATCGCCTCCCGCCGCCGTTGTGCTTCTCGCCGTCACGCAGCGAGCTCCGGCCAAGCCTCGAGCGGTTCGGGAATCTCCGGAAGGCCGCCCTCGGGAGTCTTCGGAGCGACTCGGGCTTTTCCGGTCAGGGTTCGTAAGGAGCGCGCGCTTCCGACAGAAGCCGCTCGGGCTTTTCCGGAAAAAGACCCACAGTTGTCGGCGGATTTCCTGGGCGGGCTTTCTCAACTTTCAGGGCGGGGCGACGTCTCGCTAGCCGCCTCCTTCCGGAACTGCACGAAGGCAGCTCGTCTCTTCCCGGGAATCTTCGGGTCTTTCCGTGAGTTAACCCTTTCCCCGATGGAAAGGAGTATGCAGACCTCTTCAGAGGCAACACTTCAGAGAGCTTCTTCGGCTCTTTCCGACAACTTTCGCTAAGCAAGGGCAAGGCAGAGACGCTCGGCTATTGTCGGCCAAGCTCGGTCTTTTCCGGAATCGGGGTTTAACCCTTTCTTGACCCTAGCTGGTGCTCCAACTGCAGCTTCTCTCCCGAAGTGGTAGATGCAGACTTCGTGGTTACACAGCATTCCTCAGACAGTCGTGAAGCTGAGATGTTCTAACTTGGAAGTATCAATATATTATGCAAACTTAGACAGAAAAAAAGGCATGCCAGGAGTGGTAGACCTTTTTTTCCTGTCTGAGGTCACATAACATTGTGCCTTAATTTGTTCAGATTAAATATCCTTTTCATAGCATCCCTACACATTTTGCTGCAGAGGCTGATTGATTTTCAATTGCAGATAAGACTTTCAGTTGAAGAATGCTGTGTAACTCAAAAGCTTGCTACATTGCCCATGAACTTTGCTTTTTTTTCCCCTTTCCTCCTCATCAACTGCTTGTCCAGTGAGGATTTAGCATCTTATAAAGCTATGCTGATCTGCTTCATTCCTAGCATTTCTACTCCTTTTAACCTGCTGTTAAATCCCCTGTTATGCAAAACCTTTCCCTGAAACAAGTCTCTAACTGCAAATGTCACAGAGCAGGGACATTTCTTCTTCTTCTGAAACTCTTTAAAAATACCATGTATATTGATACTGCTCCATAAACAAACTTAAAAGTAGGAAACGGGGAGAAATAGGGACTTTTGTTTCTCCTCCATCCTTGTTTTTCAAACCATGTACTCTGCTGAAGAGTTGTGGAATTTTTCTTGGTTGTAATAAAGGAATTACCCAACTGTGGATTTTGGATTTTCCCCCCTCCTAAACTAGTTATCTTTGCATTTCTTTGTTGAAGGTTATGTAGGGTTAAGCATGATTATCAGGTAGGCCACAAAAACCCACTGTACTCTTGTCCCATGTTTGCATACCTGGAAAAGAGGGAACGCCAAAACCGGATTTTGGATGCAAAGGTTTATTTCTCTGCTTATCTCACAGTGTTAAGGCCCTTCTTTTGCTCTCACTATTTGCGTGTCGGATCCAGGCTTAACCAGGATCCCTCGGAATGTAAACGAAGTACGGAGGGTTACAGCGAGAAGAGCTGGTGGGGCTGCGAACGACCCCCATTTCCCCATCTTTTCGGTTCTCACAGCCTTGCTCCCTACGAGCCCCAGAAATACTGGATGCTGCATCAGCCAGGCCGAGAGGGAACATCTTCCGGAGTTCCCCGAATCTCCCCTTTCCCGCAACACAAGCAACCAATTTTCTCCACGATCCCCATCCCAAAGTCGCCTTCCCAGCTCCTCACAAACAGAGCCCGAGACTTCCATTTCCCTTCACAATGCTAGCACTTCCACGCCTTGTTATCATTCACTTATTAAGCAAGTCACAAAGGAAATTACATGGTGGGAAGACGGGACTCGGGCTTCCCATGGGGTCACCTGCCCGAGCACACGGTTCCCAGCAATCCGTCCTGGGACGGGGGGTGCCCACCCATCCGCAAGAGAGGCTGCAGGGGGCTTGGTCTGGTCTGGTCGCCCACACGGCCCTCTCCGTCAGGTGCTGGCCCCGGCGTCCTGGGGGGAAGAGGTGGAGCGGCTCCCGGCCAGCACGCGCCACTGGAAGATGCTCGTGTCCTTGCCGCCCATGGAGATCAGGTAGCCGTCGTCGTGCGTGAAGCGCACGTTGGTGACGTGGCTCCCGTGGCCCCCGTAGACAAGACTCGGTGCCTGTGAGAGACGAGAGGCGGAACAGAGAGTCCCGAGAGGCACAGCGCCACGATCCAGACCTTCCAAACAGCGGTCCTGCACCTCAAACCTCAAGTCCATGTCCATTCTGCCAGGGACGGGGGAGCAACTGCATTCTGAGTTGCTTTTTAATTTTTTTTTTAATTTCAGAAGATTTTTTCTTTCTTTCTCCCGGTTCAGCCTTCCAGGTTTCCCCAGAGTGCCACCACCTCTTCCCCTTGGACTATTTAGTGGCTTGCTTTAACTTTTCCTACCCACCCCGTGCTGAGAGGTTGAAAATCTCCTCCTAAGGGCACTGTGACTGGCTGCAAGAGCTGGAAGCTGGTAAGTGCTGGTAACCCCCTTTTTCCTGTGGCTGAACCCCTTTTCTGGGCTTTGGTCCCTCCTCTGCTGGAATGAATCCTGCCCTGGGAGCTTCCCCAACATGGGATTTGGCCCAGCGTCCCTCCATAAAAGGTTTGGCACCATGCTTTACGCTGTTCTAGACATTCAAGGGGCCAGAAATGCCCAGCTAAGGATGGCTGGATAGGTACGGATGCAGGCATGCGTCAAGAGAGGTTGCAAAAGTCTGAAGGTGCAGGGTGGTCGCCTCTCGAAGTTCCAAAAATCAAACCGGCAATGGAGCAGGTGACCTAACGAGGTCCCCCAGGGGACACGGGCAACAGCTGGGACCCCAATTAATTCTTGCCCCTAAAACCGCTCTCTGCTGCCCTCCAGCCACTCCCTCATACCTTGGGCTTGGCACACGGGTACTGGAAAAGGTGCACTTTGCAGAAATCATCCGCCACGGCCACCACCCGCTCATGGTGGGAGCGGCACAGCGAGTTAATGTCGGTCCCATCCGAGCCGTCCGGCCACACCCCTGCGAGCGCCGGGAGCGCGGAAGGGAGAGAAATGCGACATTGGCAAGGTGAAGACAGGGCCGACATCCACCGGGATGAAAACGAGCCCTCCGGCCCCAGCGCTCCTCTGATCTGGCCTCCAGACTCACCGAAGACGTGAAAACCCAGCACGCAGGTGTACGAGGCCCATTCCCGGTCCCTGTTCTCGAAGCGATTCCGCAGCAGCTTGCAGCCTCCCGCCACGTCCCCTGCAAGCAAGACACAACTCAGCAACGTTGCGTGGGGCACCCAACCGTAGCTGCGCAAGAGGGAGGACCCTCCTGTGAGGACGACCACCGCAGGGATGTCCGTTTTCCCCGTCGGCTTTTTCATCTTGGGACTTTCCCCCTGCTAGTTGCGGAACTTACAGTACAGGATTTCATAGTCCCCTGAATTGGACATGATGAATTTCCCATCTTTAGACCAGTCCAAATGTGTGATAAAACTGGAGTGACCCTAAACAGGAAAGGGAGAAAGAAAATGTGTGGATTATAGGAAGCCTCTACTCTGGTTTATTGTTCCTTCTTGAAGACACTAATACTAGCTACTTTTCCGCTGAAGCGGACAGAGGCAACGCAGGAAATTAACCACAGCGGAATCAAATGAAAATAAGACTAGGATTAAGTAAATGCATTGAAAGCGGCTAGAAGTTCTGGGCAGGTTTAGGAAAAAACATGTCCTGAGTTTAAGGCTAACATGGGCCTCTGATCGGAATTTAGAAGAGGAACATCCCAACATCCAGATGTTTAAGCAAGTCGAAGGGGGCAATCCTATGCATGTTCAGGCAGATGAAAAGGCCGAAAATTCCCAGCATGCCCCATGGTGGCTGGGGCACGTTGGGACTTGTAGGTCCTTGCTCCTGCCTGAACATGCATTGGAACATGCCTTAATTTTTCAGTGTGTCTGCTTACCACGCAACGGCCAAAACGGGTATATTTATGCTCGCTCTCCTCCACACTGTAAATATAGATGAAGTTGTCATGGGAGCCGATGGCCAAGAATTCCCCATCTGGCAAAGGGAGAAAGTCAGGATCAAAGACTGAAGAAAAAGCCAGTCAGCAGTCATCGCTGGGTGAGGAAACAAGCAGTTTATCAACAGGTTTAATTTTATTGCCAGAAGTTTGACTCAGGAGAAGGAATTCTGCATGCATTAATTGGCGTATTTACTGCTAGGAAATTTGGCTTTTGGGCTGTTACTTGTCATATTTATATTCCACTTTTTTTTCCTTTCAAGGAACGCCAGGCGGCTTACACAATTCTTCTCTCAAACATACCCTCAGCACAACAACCCTGGGAGGTAGGTTGGGCTGAGAGTGTTTGATTGGCCCAAAATTGCCCAGTGAGTTCCATGGCTGAGTGGGGACTTGAACCCAGATCTCCAGAGTCCCGGTTCCACACTCTTAACCACTACACCACACTGCAAGCAAAATTTTAAAAGAATGAAAAGCTGTGCATCTTTAAACAGAAAGTAAGTCCTACAGCTCCCGGCATTTCCCAACCAACATGGCTGGCTGAGGCATTCTGGGAGTTTTAGGCCATGATTCTAAAAACGCACAGGATTGCCCAAGTCCATCACTCCTATGTGGAGCATCCACAGACAAACAGTCCAATAGGAGCTCTTTTCACAGAGAACGACAATACAAGTTACACAGCATATGTGAGGAAGGTGTGTATCGGACAGAAAAAGTGCAGGCAACTGCCTTTGCTTGGAACGTGATCCGAAGCGTGAAGAGGAGACAAGTCAGACACCACAGCGCAATACTATCTTGCTTAATATTTGCGTTCTCTCTGTTGGTTTTGCGGCAACAGACGGACACAGAGCCGAACAAACCCACGTGTGAAAGGCAAGCGAAGGGAGCTCACTTGGTGAATACCGCACCACCGAAAGCTGCTCGTTACCGTCCGTGTAGCCCGACAACACCTGCAGTGTCTCGGTATCCACCACCACCCATCTGCGGGGGGAAAACTTAATTAATGCCTGGTGGCCACCAAAGGAGACCCTACAGAAGCCCTCGGCCATTATAGGTGGCCTATAAAGACATGGACGGACGGAAGGATGGATCTGGTCCCCAAAACAGGGTTCTGGGTTTCTTTCCCAGGCTTCACCACCTGCAATACTGAACGCACTGGATTAAGTCTGAGGAACTCAAAACCTTCTCAGTAGCTGCCTGCCACCTTTGGAACGGGCTCCCTAGCGAAGTCCATCTGTCGCTGTCACTGCTTTTATCTTGGCTCCGGGCGAAAACTGTTCTCTTTTGCAGGCATTGTGAGACCTGATTTTACCAAATGATTATAAAAGTTCTCTCTGCTACCAGCAGTTTTTGTGTCATTCCTTCCCCCCTGTACCTGTAACCTGGAATTATAGTGCTGGTCTGTCTGTTGTTGTTGTTCGCTGCTTAGAGAGCCCTGTGGGCCAATAAATTTATAAATAAATAAATGTTTCCCCAACATTCCATCTGAGTACTGGCAATGGTGTGGGTGGAGGTGAAGCATCACCTGTTACTTTCAAGGAGCCGTTTCTCAAGGCCAAAAGAAAGAACAAGGGGCCATTAAAAGCTGTGCAGGGTCGCCCTCCTTGGTGCGTGTAAGCCGGAGGCAGGGAAGCAGGCTGGGATAAAAGGAGGAAATTCGTTACCTTCCAGTGCTGAGCCCTACGGTGACCACTCTGCCACTGGGGTGGAAGTCGGCACACAGCCCCGTCTCCTAGGGAATGTGGAAAGGGGAACCGTGTGAAACTTCTTGTTATTATGACAGTAAAAGGCCTGACTGGATACAGCGCGGTCAGCCCGGTGCATTCAAAGCGTGGAAGCGCCGTGCTGAAGAGCAACCAGCTTGGGGGAAGAAAAAGGAGCGAATTCTAGGATGCTTCCATTTTACTTCCTGCAACTACCTGTCCCACTACAGGTGATCCGAACAATAAAAAGCGAAGCTGCAGGGAGGCAAGCCGGGAGCTTTTTGGTTGTAAAATGAGAAGCGTGTGCACAGCTGGCCAAACACACAGGAATGCTTGGTGAGAGGGACCAAGGGTCACGCATGGAACAGCAGAGCTTCCTATGTTCTTAATAACGGCAGCCACAGCAGAACTAAACTCGATTGGCGCCAAGCAAAGTCTTTATCCATGTCTCTGTTTTAAAAACAAGACCCGTTAGGGAGCCAAAGGTAAAACTGGAAATGGCTTAGGGTTTAAAAAAAAACCTTAGCAGTATAGGAACTAAGGATTTAGTAGTTTTAGTACACATGAATAAATCCTATTAGATGAGGATCCTTAGGTTGTGGGGCGGGGGAAGAAAGGAGAGAGCTGAGAGAGGTGTATAAAAGGAGACCTGGATAAATCACAGACTTTCAGCACAACCCGCCTCACAGGGTCGTGGGGAGGATAAAATGGGTTGGATTGTATCAACTACCTTGGGTTCCTTGCAGGAAAAAGGCAGTATTTAAATATAATCTATAAACATGACCAGGCAATTTCTTGCAACCCTAATGGCTAGAAACTTGTATTTTAAATATACGCATCTCGGAAAGCTGGGATTCTCGGGAAGCCAAGATTTTGGGTGAGACAGTCCTTTCTGCCCCCTGCTCCTTAGGATGCTGCCAGATCCACCTGCATGACGTATTGCTCCCGCCACAAAGCCAAGCCGCGTGTTCTTCTCTGCCGGGTACAATACCTCCAGCGTGACGCTCCAAGCCAGTGTGTGCTCTCCGCCATCCCACATGCAAAGCTGCCGGTCGTAGCCGCAGGTGACAAAAAGGTCCCGTGACGGGTGCGTGCCCAACCCCCACAGTTCATCCGTGTGCCCCTGCAAAGGAAGACTGCTGAAGAACCGGCCACGGGAGGGGGGCAGTGTGGCGAGCAAGTGGAACGGATCCTGCCGCCGGCCGGCCAGCCCGCCCGCTCACCTGGATGATGGGCCGGAAGCCCTCTGCGAACGTCCCCCGCAGCAGGGCGTTGCGCGTGGTCCCGACCAGCAGCTCCCCGTCATCGCCCTCTGCGATGGTGCGGACAGCGCCAAACTGCTCCAGGATCTGGGCAGGGGGAAAGTGTCTTTGCTAAGAAGAAGGCGCTCGAGGGGCACCGATGAATGGAGCGCCGATACCAACCCGGTTTGCACGGGCGCCGTGCAAGTACGCATGTGTGAGCTGGTTCTCGCCCGCCTTCCAACACTGTTGTCATGCCCAGCATTTTCTGTATTCAAAGCAGCTCTTCCACTAAGTCGCAGACCCTCCCCTTAAGGCTCTAAACCAGGGGTCTCCGGCCTTTTGGCTTTTCTGGGCCACATTGGAAGAAGAAAAGCTGTCTTGGGCCACACATTAAATGCACAAACACTAACAAAAGCGGAGGAGCAAGCAAAAAAGTCTGTGCATAATTTTCGTGATATCTGCCACCACCAATAGCAATAAATATAAGTAAGTAAGTAATAAATAAATGTTCTTGTAGGTAAAAAATACCTGTTCTGAAATAAGAAGCAGAATTCCTTTCTTTTCAGAGGGTGATCCAGTCTATTGCAGATGATGAAATATTACAAGAAACACTTCTCTTGAAAAGGGGCATGTCTCTGTCAACAGCCTTTTTGTCTTAAGACTAATTCCTATCAGCATTATTTTATTTCTATACCTCCCACCAGCGAAAGCCCCCTAATATTTTTTTAAATATCTGCTTCCAGATTGTTTTCACTGAAGAACCTCAACCATGGTTACAAAGCAGAGGTGTGTATATTTGGGAACAAGCCTTCTCTTAAAATATTTCTTTTCCCAGCATCGGAAGTTATATTCTGAGGGTGGCCCCGGGATCAAGTCCTGCACGAACACCTAGACGAGGGAGCGGCAACAATTCCATCAATGCAGAGTGGCTCTTCTCGCTCATCTCCCTTACCTCCACCTCCTGCACCAGGGTGAGGTTGGGGCTCCACTGGACCAGACGCCGGTCCTTGCCCCCTCCGCTGAGGACTGTACCATCCCGGCACAGGCAGAGGGAGAAGATGCTGCCTTCGTGGGCCCGCGTCTGCTTGCTGATCTGGTACGTCTCTGCAAGTGTGGGGGTAAAAGGAGAGCTCAGGATCACCGCTTCATAGACTGGGCCCGGTCATTCGTATAAATGACAGGGCAAGGAGATGGCAGCTGGACTTCCCACGGAACGCCCCCTCGGCCCCCACTGCCGGAGATTTCAATGCTCAGGTACTGCCACTTACATTCAGGTGAGCTATGCAACTGCTTTCAGGCCTGATGACCGAGCTCAGCTCGGTCTGCTCCGGGTGTGCAGAACCTCAGACCCGCAAGCCAGTTCTGATTGGTCCACTGGGGTTTCCTCGGGTGGCCACATCTGTTTCCCACTCATTTCAGCCTTCGCCCTCGTTTTTCTTGCCCTTCCCCGTTCTGAGAAAGGTTGAAATGTCTCCCCCATGGCTTCATTCCAGAAGAGAAAAGTTTTTAATGCTCATGTTGACCGCTAAATTTGGTATTCCCAAGCCCATTTTGCCCTCAGCCCGCCTAGCAGGGGAATCTGGAAACATTTTCAGCGTCATTGCGTGATTCTGACAGACAGTAAATCTCCAAGGATGTGGGGCAAAAAAAAAAGGAGTTTCTCAAACCCTTTCCTAAAAATAAAAAATGGAACCACGGATTCGACCAGGAATCTTGGAACAGGCAAAGCATGTACGTCAATGTTATGCACTGGCCCTCAGCGAAATTCCTTCTCTTGAACATGGGAGGTTGTGTGTGTGTGTGTGTGTGTGTGTCAGCGGGAATCCCTCTCAGGCCAGCACCCAAATAGAAGCCATCGGTCCTTCACCCCAAGATACCTTTCGCCCCCTTGCCCAGGGTGCGGGTGTCCGCGGCCACCCTGGCCCAGGTCAGAATGTTTCCCTCGGAGTCCCCGGTGAGCACATCCCTGTTGGTGTCGAACACGAAGCACTGGATGAATTTGGGCTTCTTGTATTTCTGGAAAGGTTAGGAAAGGCGACAGGCTGGTATGAGAACACCCTGGCAGAAGAGGGTTAAAGAAGAGCCTTCAAAGAAGCAGGATAAAAGCAGGATAAATCTTCACACAGCATGACTTGACCTTGTACGTTTCCACTAGAGGTGATGGCCACCGATTTGAGTGGCTTGGAAAGGGGGCTGGATAAATCCATGGATGAGGAGGTTAGCCGTGGCTGCCAGGTCCAGCTCACTCTAGGCTACCTCCTGCCTGTGTATACCAGTTACTGAGGAACATGGGCAGGGGAGTTCTATTGCTGTCCTGCCCTGCTCACGGGCTTCCCATTACGCAGCTGGTTGGCCCTTGTGTGAAAAGACTGCTGGGCCTCTGGTTTGATATCTCGATTTCATTTCTACGTCTCAAAGGCTGAGGAAATGAGTCTTTTCGTGCATCTTCACCATCAGCCTGAGTACAGCGTGCTTACCAAATGATCTCAGTATTCTAACATGGCATTTAGTACTGCATTAAGCAGTTGGTATTGCTATTTTGAGTGATAAAAGCCAGCACGGCTGAATGCTCAAGTGCAGCGAATGCTGTAGGTATTGGGAGCAGCCCCGGGCAGGTGGAGAAGAAAGAAAATTAGCTTGAGTGAAGGGCTCAGCCTCTAAAACAGGGATGTGGAACCTGCAGCCCACAGACTTCATCGGGCCCGCGGAGTTTCTGCACCAGCCGGCAAAACTTTCCTGGGCTTCTCCAAGAGAGGAGCCCAAAGCCCCACCTCCCACAGGAGTTTCTGCTTATTTTTGATCTGATATCAGATTATCTGATGTGCTGATTTGGAAAGGACAGGCCGGGCCCAGGAGCAAAGAGGATTTCCAAGGCAGGCTAAGAACAGCGGGGACAGACCAAGAGAAAATCAAATGACCTCAGACAAATTTAATAAATAAGTGCATAATAAATAAGGTATTTGTGGGGATGCTTTGCTTAAAAAGTGGGTGAGGAAGAAGCCTCCATATCTGAATGTCACGGGCTTGTTTTGGGAGATGTTTTTCACTAGAAGAAAAAAAGGGCCCCTGAGCACATGCTGAGCTCTGCCCCCAGTGTCCCCCTCCCTGAGATCCTCCCCTCCCAGCGACCTGAGCCCTCCCCTCCCACCCCAGGGTGACCTTACCCCAAAGATGCCCTGTTTCTTGGTTAGGCTGTTTCCGCTCCAGGTCCAGAAATAGACGTGAGATTTTCCGGTGGTGATTATGTTGCTGCTGTCTTGGGGATTAAACTCCACCGTCAGGACGGATTCATTCGTGCTCTGCCAAGGTGGGGTGAGGGGTGGGAGGAGAGAAACGGTGCAGGTAGGAAGGGGAAGGGAGAAGATTCCAGGGCAACAGGCACGATCAGGGTGGATCCCCACGAAGGGCGCCTGCCGCTCATCAGTGCTGCAGGGTGAAAGGCTCAGCCGCAGGCTGCTGGCGAGCCGGGCCTTTTCCCAGGGCGCTCCACTCCATGCCCCTCACTGGTGGGTTTCTAAGCCCCCTGCCAACAGTTATTCCACGTGCTGGACCCACTGGACACGCTCCCAAGAGAGAGAAGAGGGGGGACAAAGCCTAACCTGCCCACCCCCATCAATATCCATCTGTCCGTCCATCCGTCCATCTTTCAATCTATCAATCTGTCCATCCGTCCATCTTTCAATCTATCATTCTGTCCATCTGTCCATCCATCTTTCAATCTATCAATCTGCCCATCCGTCCATCCATCTTTCAATCTGTCCATCCGTCCGTCCATCTTTCAATCTATCAATCTGTCCATCCATCTGTCCATCCATCTCTCTATCAATCTGTCCATCCATCTGTCCATCCATCTCTCTATCAATCCATCTATCAATCTGTCCATCCATCTCTCTATCAATCCATCTATCAATCTGTCCATCCATCTCTCTATCAATCCATCTATCAATCTGTCCGTCCATCCACCTCTTCATCCATCCACCCATCGAGAGACAGACGACTATCTGATGCTGCTACTTGCTTAACTGGCCCACACAGCCACCGGTCCCCTGCAGTTTTCTCACGCCCACCTTGATCTCCACCTGCTTGACTCCACGGGCACAATCCCAGACAGACAACATGTGTTCGTTGGATTCATCTATCACACACAAGTAGGCGCCATCATCCTGGAAGGAGCACAAAGGATCATGCCAGGGGCGGGCAGGCGGGCGAGCGCTCTTGGCATTCCCCAAGCCAGCGAGTCTCTCCCATGGGCCCGTCCCAGGCAGGAGAACCACTTACGGCCGTGGAGAAGGCGAGGGACCCGACCCCTCGCTCAAAACTGCCCAGACCGATTTGCTGCAGCGTGAGAAGGGTGGAGGAATCCCAGATGTGAACAGAAGGTTGCAGGGGCTGTGAGGAAGGAACACGAGAAGGGAAGGCAAAATGGTCAGCATCTGCCATGCGTCAAAGATAAAGGGATAGTGGCAAATAATAAAAAAAAAATACAATAAAATGCCAGTACACAGAAAACACACCACTAGTAGCAGTCATGGATATATTGGACTACAATTCCCATTCTTTCCATTCTGCCTTCAGGTAATAGGGGTTGGTCCAAAATTTCTGGAGGTTAGGAAAGGAGGCTTCCTTGCACTTTTGGTGCAAGTCTGAAGGAGGCGGCACAGGTGTGGACTAGAGCACATGGGCCAAATAATCAACAGAAGAATTTGCCATTTGCCCAAGGCAAGAAAATTCCATTGTTAGTCGCCGAAGGACCAGTGACTGAACTGCACCTGAAACTTTGGTTAAGCTTGCGTCTAGTCAAAACACGTTTAAACCCATAGATCTGGAGGGTTGTAGGGCCCTTCGAACACTGAGGGCTTACCTTGCCGTCCTTGTCCACACCGGCCATCTGCCCGGAGGCCACACGGACTCGGTCAGGGTGCACAGCTAGGCTGGAGAAAACAGAACGGTAAGAAAAGGACCCTTCCTTCCTTCCTTCCTTCCTTCCTTCCTTCCTTCCTTTCCTTCCTTTCCTTCCTTTCCTTCCTTCCTTCCTTCCTTCTCAAGCCCACCTCCCTTATGCATGTGCTTTTGTGGGCACACGGGCCCCTGAAATTTCAATTTCAACAACTTGGTCATGATTTAGCTTCGCTGGGGGGATTTGGCAGGGTGTCTGTGAAAATGTTTGGCTTCTGCTGGCACTCAAAGAAATCGCAAAGGGCTGTCCTACATGAGGCCATGCCTGTAGTTCCTGCATCAAAAGCCACTCTGATGGTTTGGTTGGTCCAAATAAAAGCAACGCAACCATAAGGGTAGGTGTGACTGGGCACTTGTTAAGGGACCATGAAGCAGGGGGGCCCTTGCCTTCAAAAACCTGCACTGACCCTTAGGGGATCTTTTGGATCCCCCCCCCACACACACACACAATGGACTGACAAAGCTGCCTAGACTATTCATCAGTTTTTGCATCAGGTGGGTGCGAGAGGGGAGGGAATTTGCCTCTGCATCTCTGTTTCCCGTGTGGTGGGATGGGGGACGTGCGGGGGGACGACACTCCACCCAGCCCCAGCTCTCACCAGCGCACGCAGTCCGTGTGCCGCAGGTAGTGCCGCTGCGTGCGGCGCTGGACGTGATACAGCACAACTACGCAGGCGATGAAGTAGACCAGCTCCCCCGAGGTCAAGACGTAGAGGTTGGAACGGCAGTCGCGGCCCCGGTACCCGTAGCTGAACGGACTGTCAAGGGCCAGAGCGGAGCCAAGGACCAAAGCCGGCAAGGGAAACCAAGGACCAATCATTGTGAGCCACCTAGGAAGGCCTTGGCGATTATAGGAGGTCTATAAATACATGTAAATACATAAATAAGGAGACAGAGCCTCCATTTCTAGGATGGATGGATGAAGACGCTTGCAGACCAGTTTAAACTTAAACCAGGAAAACTGGCCTGCTCAGCCCTAAAACCTACCTTGGCCAATGACCACCTCTCAAGGTTGCTGTGAGGATAAAAGCATGTTTATTGTTAATTTTATCCTGCCTTTTTCTTTTCAAGGAACTCAAAGAGGCAGACATCATTTTCTTCCTTCTCTTACAACAACAGCCCTGCGAGGTCGGCTTGGCTGAGAGTCTGTGGCTGGCCCAAAGTCACCTAGTGAGCTCCGCACCTGAGTGGGGACTCGAACCCGGATCTCCTGAGGCCCAGTACAACACGTAACCACTACACCACACTGGCTCTCACCCATTTGGCGGGATTCCTTGCAGGAAGGGTGGGATAAATATAATAACATTCTTGGGCGGTAAGATTTAATCAGCCCATTTTAGCAAGAACACCATTGTTATCCCATTTGGGTGGTGAAGGAGGGCATCTGAATTTATGAAAGCCACTATTTTGCATCTTTTTGGTGGGGGAGGATGGGGAAGGAAGAGAAAGTACACCCCGTTTCAACTGAGAAAGGATACACCCAGTCTAGCTGCAGCTTCTCGACCGGCAGCTCCATGCGCATCTCCTCATAGTTGGAGAAAGCAGAAGGGATGTACATGGTGATGGGCCGGCCACGCAGGAACATCTTGGTGGAGAGTCCTTCTAAAGAGTTGCGAGAAATGGGTGGGTGTTGGAAGCTGGGAAACACGAAGGGCAGCGCCTTTCATGCTCCAAGAACAGCCGTGTTTTGAACCAGAGCTCCTACCTGCATCTCTCTCCATCCACCCAAATACAACAGGGTAGCAGAACCTCTGGCCCGCGGGTCACATTTGGCCCTCCAAGGGTCCCCCGACAGCCAGTCCCTCTTCCCGCTTTCTCCCCAGCTATCACCACCACCTATTTATTTGTGTGCTTTGTGACAACAAAATTGTGCCCAAAGCAGCTCGCCCTGTAACTGCCCAGAGAGTTTTGGGCTGCTGGGTGGTATAGAAATTAAATTAAATAAAAAATGAACAACAGTAAATATAATTTACAAAATAGCAGCAATAAATATAATAATATTCCCAACCTAGAACACAACTAATGACTGTAAGGTTGGAGATGAATGTATAGAAATATCCATACATACTGTCTCAAGTATAACAGTAGAAACAATTTAAACTAACCCAATGATGGAGCACAAAACAAAACAAAAGAACAAAACACAGTATGGAAATACAATTACATTACAATTTCCATATTGTAATGTAATATTCATTAGCAGTCATAAAAGTTACATGCCATGAATAAAAAAACTGCATAAAACTAAAGTTTACCAAATTCAAAATAATGTAAGCAGAAAATCAATTTAAATAAAAATTAATATCTAGAAGTCTAACAGGGTTTTATGGCTGCATATTGGTTTCATCGTTTTATTCTTTTTTTGGTTTTATCTAATTACGCTGACTCATTTTACCTTCATTGTATGCTGCATGGGGAGCACTCAGCCTATGGGGCAGCTTACGAATATAATAAACAATATTCAAATCTATAAATAATCTCTATTCCACATGAGGGCTCTTCGCTATTAGTTGACAAGCACGGTTTGGCAGCCGCACCTCTCGCTTGTGAGAGCAGGGAGGAAGGCTGCCACCTGTGCCTGGCGATCACCCAACTTCTCTGCAGTTTCTTCCCTCCTTTCAAAGAGTTAAAATTGAACAGCAGCAAAGGCTTTGAGCTAAAACAGGCCGATATTTTTTAGCCCTGCCCTCATTCCAGTTTGGCCGTTGAAATGAAATTCGTCCTGCAGTTCACAGGAAGGTGTAATCTTTGTGCCTGGCAACAATTAAAGGCACCCTCACTGGAGGGGACAGGGGAATACATCTCCCCACATGCAGAAAACTAGCATGCTAGAAGGACGGTATTCCTGCTTCCAGAGCCTCACCTAAGTTGTAATTCCCACGGCGAGAGCTCCAGGGACCTGCAGAAAGAGGGAGGCAAGTGAGGCAGCTAAAAGGCCGAAAGTAAGAACTTGAAGACTGAGAGAGCTGCAGCCACCTCCGCTCAGAGAATCGCACCTGGGGCTAACAATTCCCATCCTCATAGAAACAGAGTGAGTCAGAAGGACCCTCCAGGGCCATCTAGTCTGACCCCCGGCTCCACTCATGACATGCCTCCTGTATGACGTACCTGCAAAAGCGCCACTTTCGCTCCCTGTGCATTTTTCTACCTCCCACACACACCCTGGGAGGATGGCCACCTGGCCCTGCTCTACACCAGGAAGCCCCAAGGCCCCATTTCGCAGGTATGTCCTCCCAGTGCTCACCTGGGCTCAGGGACGGATCCTTGATACGGCTGCAAGAAGAAAACAAGAGCATTAAGGTGGGAAGCCTAGAAGGAGAGGGCAAAGCAGAATTCTGGGAGTAAGCAGAGCTATGGAGCATGCCCAGAGTGTTTTCCCTCCCCGGCTGCTCCAGCAGGGTGGACACAAATAACTTGCACATCTACCCGAAAATACAGGCGTGAATGGCGTATACCACTTATATGAAATAATCAAGAAGCACCAACAATTCACCTTCGAACATTCTCCCTTGGGTGCATCTGCCACCTCGTGTAAGGTGGGTGGTGAACAAAGAGAAAGAGCAGGGCCTTTTTGCCGTGGCACCTCTCTTCGTATCATCCAACCAAGCGAAAACATGTTTTCCATCTGCCAAGGTTTTTTTAATGCCTTTAATTATCTCCCTCCCAGTTCTCATGTAGGTTTAATTCTTATAGCCTTTCTACGAGGGTTCTTCAAAAAATCTCCACACTTTTATATTTAATATATTTTATATATTTTTTGCGATGGCATTAAAAACTTGGTACAATGCTGGGAAAATGCATCACAAAGGAAGGTGACGATGTAGAAAAGTGATGTCATTTGTTTTTTGAATTCTTAATAAATAAGAGTTTTTAAAAGTGCAGAAACTTTTTGAAGAACCCTCGTATAAGCTGGTCCGCAAATGCCAAATACAGGGGTCTCAGACCCTCTTTTAGGAGGGACACATCTGGAATTTTGCAAGAATACCATGGGCACCCTCACGAAATGCCTGCCATGGGGTAGGGACTTTCCCATTCATAAAATGGCTTCCCTGGTGGATATTTGCAGTCAGAACACTCATTTCGCAACAGCTGAGTTTAAAACTTGCCCAAATAAGAAATGGTGGAAGTTACTTTTGAGCTCTGAAGCGCTCAAAAATACCTCTTTAGAACCCAAAGAAGGGTATTGCTGAAGGTCAGTCCTTTGTGCACCAGCCTCCCGTTTTAAAAAAAAAATATTAATAACTTTTTAATGTGAAGAAATGAAAGAAAAATCAGACTGCTTGACAGGGGTCAAAGGAATCTCAGAAGCTAAGCAAGGTCAGGCCTGGTCAGAATTAGGATGGGAGACGTGAGCCCTACATTGGGCTGGGGTTGGACCCGATGGCCTGCTAGGCCCCTTCCAACGGTGTGACGATAGGATATTGGCACCAATAGTCACCACGTTGGAGAGCCCAGAGGTAAACAAAGCAGAACTCAATTTTGGGACAACACAGTGCTTCTGAGCGTGCACAGACTGCCACCTACCCACCCACCCCCCCAAAACACAGGGAAAATCCCACACAATTCCCTCCCTGAGAACAAGGGTGATGCCCTTCGTGTGTGTATGTGTCAGCCCTCACTTCTCAAGGCTACTGGAGCGGTTCAGGAGATTCGCCGAAGACGCAGCCTTCTTGGAAAGGTGTTGTTTGGCTCGGGCGGGTTTGTCAGAGGAGCTGTTTCTCCGCAGCCTGGAAAGAAGAAGGGAGACTGGAGCAACAGGGACCTTGTTTGCAACATGTCCTGCATTTCCTAAATTAGGAAATCGTCTTTTCTTTAGTTTTTGTGAGTGTGGCTTTGTGGGTAAATGTGTTTCTTTAGCAGGAGGATGGAGAACGGGAAGATGCTTCAAGGGAGCAAGGCTAAGCTTTACCAGCTACCAAAGACTTGTAGTCCTGGGCTAAGGAGAAGAGTCTAGGGCAGTACTGACATCTCAGGCAGACAGGCCCAAATTCAACTCCCATCGTGGCCAGGAGCCCTGGTGACTTAATCCAGCGTAGACGTATTTCTTAGCCTGCCTTGGAGCCACAAATCAAACGGGTGGGAAAAGGATGATATAAATTCCTCAGAGAAGGGGTTACACATTGCTTTCCACCTAGGACCAAGTTTATTTATTTATTTAAAGTTTTTATATGCCCTTACTACCTAGCCTCGGGATGGCTCACAGCAATAAATAAATAAAACAAGTACAATTACAATTACAATTAAAACCTGGAAACAAGTTCCATTTCAGAGAAACTCTCGGAGGCTGCAAGGCAGTGACGGACATGTCACAAGCGAAGGATCAAAAATGGCGACGTATTTTAGGTTTATTTTGTTATGACCAGTGACTAAGCCGTAAGAGAATGAGGGGGAGAGGCACAGAAGACTGGAAACCAAACAATTGGTGGGGTGGAAGTAGGGAAAAAGGCCCTGGCCCCCAACCTTGAAGGAAGGGCAGGATAAGAAGGCAATAAATGCATAAAAGGAGATATTATTCTGTTTTTCTGTGGCTGGAAAGGAGCCCTGGGTGTTTCAAGGTCACACTTTGGAGGGAAGCAATGTTATTTACGAACTGTATTTATTGGGTTTTTAATGTACGTGCCGAGATGTTGCAGGTTTTTTAACTCTAATTATATAACTGTTTATTTATGTTTATTTATTAATGTTGTAAGCCACCCTGAGGCTTTTTGCGAATGGGGCGGCATAGAAATGCTTTAAATAAATGAATGAATAAATAAATAAATATTTTGCAGACTGGAACTGTCTGCAGGATGTTTTCCTACACCAAGTGTATATTTTGTAAATAAAACAGCGTGAAGCTTCATTAAATCTCCAGGACACTCTCTCTGTCCACTCGCAGTGTGACCCAAGTCCTGAACAAAAGTCTTCTGCTAAATGCAAAGTGAGATTAGGAAGAGATCGTTAACTGTTTTTAAAAAATAACTTCAGCAGGGAACTCCAAATTTAGGAGCTCCTGGATTTGGGAGAAGGGCTGCAGGGCCGGATCTGCTCACAAGTGGATTTTGGGAATCATGAAAGAGCGATCAGTTGTTGACTGTGTAATTTATCATGGTAGCTGGATTTTTATCACTGGGGAGAAGTGTTTGTGGGCTTGCCCACTTCCGGTAAAAATATAACTTGACTGGCATGGGGTACAAGGTCCCTGGACACAAAGATGCCACCAGCTGCTTTTCTGTATGCAAGAAAACGTGCTGAATGGCAGAGCCCACACTGTGTGTGCAAGGTCCAGCCCGAGCCACCCCCAGGACTGGGAAAGAAGGTGTTCCCAACTCCCAGGCAACCAACCAGGCAGCGTTCCCCCACCTGCTTCCCTCCAGCCCCTCCAGATGTGCCGGGCCACCCTCTGCCCGCTCAAAAAAAACGCCACACACATTGGAGGGTGCCGGGTCGGAGAACTGCGGAGGGACGGTGCTGAAGTAACTAACTGCCCCAGTGGGGTAACCCCAAGGGTGATCCAGCCGCTGCCTACCAGCGGTGTTGGATTGCGGCCCCCATAATCCCTGAGCTCAGCCATGCTGGCTGGGGAGGGAGGGATGGGTATACATATGCTCCCTTGCACAGCACAGGTGGCAAGCTTTCCCGTGGGATCCTGAGCAGAAGTACTTCTGTTCGCACCTGCAAAGCTTAGGTTGTTCCCCCCGTGGGGCCAGTTTGGCTGGGGCACTGGAGCGGCGCTTGTCCTCCGAGGAAAGCTTCTTCCCAACATAGAGAAGCCACTTTTGGCCTTGTGGTGTGGAGCGACAACGCGCCCACAGCTGCAAATAGGCCTGGTTTATAGCAAACCTTCAATCAGCCATGAAAGGGGTGGGTGGGCGAGTGAGCGAGACCTCAGGACGTCGCCAGGGAGTGGGGGAAGCGTGCCAATAAAGCATCTCGGACGGCCGTTCCCAGCCTGGTGCCTTCCAGAGGCATCGGACTACCACCTCCACAGTTCCAAGCAAGCATGGCTGTAGGCTGAGAATGCTGGGAGCGGCAGTCCAACACCCCTGGAAGGCACCAAGCTGGAGAGGGCGGCTAAAAGGGGCGTCCCTCCCTCTTGAAAGGCTGCTTGATGTTTTCCCCTTGCCGCCCCCGGACGGCCCGATGGAAGAGTCCAGCTTGCCACACAGTGCTCCATCCCCAGCCCGGGTGGATCCAAGGTGCCTTCTCACCCCCAGCAACTGCTGGATATCAGCAGGGGGCCCTGACACTGGAGGTGGCAAGGAGCCATCAGGGCCGGTAGCCACAGAGAGCCGCCCCCTTCGAGAATCGGGCCAGTCGCCATTCAGATCGGGCCAGTTGGTGGCCGTCACAACCTCTTGCAAAAATGAATTCCATGGCCAAACTCTCCACTATGCAAAAGTCCTTCCTTGGCCTGTCCCAAGCTTCCCTCCCATCTGCTTCACGGGGTGCCCTCTTCGGGGTCCGGGACGAGCCGTACAGGACCTAAATGCCCGCATCTCTCCCCTTCGCCTGCCCTTTTTCTAACCTCAACAGTTCGAGACGCCGTAATGCTTCCCCACTGGAAGATGCTTAAGCCCCTTGCTTATTTTCGGCAGCCGTTTCCTATTTTAATGCCTGCCATTTGTTGGGAGCAGGAAACTCAGGCGGGCTGACACCGAACCAGGGAGGAACTGACCCAGAGTGCAAGAGGGAAGGTGCCCCAGGCCGGTGCATGTAATGCCAAGCCACAGTTGGCGCTGCCTGCGAACGAGCCTGGCGACTTGACCCGTCAGTGAAACTTCACCCACCACTACCCCAAAGGAGAAACTGACACAGCTCTTCCACCGCCCTGGTTGGTTTCCCCCTCTTCCCTCCCCATCGCTTTCCCTCGTGTGCCATGACTTTTTAGCCTGCAAGCAAGGGCTGCCTTCATTGTCCTGAGTGCTTGTTGGCCCTTTTGGGAGCCGTTTTGGGATGAAACGAACCCACGGAAAAATCAGTGCCCACCCCCAATTCCCGGGTTCCCAACTCCCCCAGGAGTTGGGAAATCCACTCACAGCTCCTTCTTGCTGGTCATCAAGCTCTGAACGGCTGGAACCGGGGAGGCTGCGGTGCTGCTGCCGCTTCCTTCTGACAGGGGCTCTGGGGAGGGCGTTTCCTGCCCCCAGGGCTGAGCTGGGGCTCGGGGCTGCCCTGCCCTTGGGTCCGTGCTGTCTTCGGGGGGAGGTTCCCCCACATCTTGAGTTTTGTGGGGACAAGAGCCTGGGAGATGGCCACCGAGTCCGTGAGTCCGAGGGCTCTCGTGGACTTTCTGCACCTCCGAGGCAAAGCCCTGGGTCCCCCCGTCAGCGGACGACCCAAAGGAGTTCTTTGCTGGCTCAGGAACGTGTGGGTTGACCGGGTCCCCTGCGCAGTCCGTCTTTCCGGCCTGGCCTGGTTTGCTGCCAACAACCGAACCGCCATCCACCTGGTCAAGCTGCCCATTGCTCAGCAGCTCGCCCTGCTTCACCGTCAGGACAGTCGACTCTTCGGTCTGCGTCCCAACACTGACCCGGAAGCCCTGCGCCTTTTCGGTCCAGGGTACCAGATCCTCCCGGCTCCCCGATCGCTGCGTGCCGGGCAAACTGCAAACCAACAGCCCCCCGATGCAGACAGATTTAGTCACTTCATTCCCCCACGATACGTCCCCCTCAAAAGAAAACGGATTTTGTCTTTCGGAAAGCTGAGGGATCTTTCTAGATAGCAGACTCTTGGCACTGTCACTCAGGCTGACAAATAACACCTTCACTTCAAGAAAGCACTTCTTCCTTAGTTGCAATGTTTAGTCACAGAGTAAACGGGCTCCGTGGAATATTCCTTTGGGCACAGGGTATCCATTAGCTCTGATTCCTGCTAAATTTTAATCCCTGCCCAGGAATTCTGGGCAGCCCAGGTGCCCTGCCCCTGCTATTTTATCCGCACAACAATCCAGCAAGGTAGGCCTGGCTGAGACTGAGTGACAGGCCAAAGGTCGCAGTGAGCTCGGTACTTTTCCTTCGCCTGTTCAGAACCTAAAGCCAAGGGACAGTGTGATGTGGTGGTTATAGTGAACATAAGAAAAGCCCTGCTGGATCGGTCCAAGGGTACATTTTGTCCAGCACTCTGCACATGTAGTAGCTAACCAGCTGCCCACAGGAGCCCTCCAGCAGGACAGGTGTAAGACCTCCTCCTGCCCAGCTCCTCAGCAAATGGGATATGCAAGCAGGCCGCCTCTGGTGAAAGAGGTAGCCATGGCCAGCAAGGCTAGTAGCCATGGATAGTCCCTTCCACCTAGTGAGGGATGGGGACTCAGGTAATGCAGCTTCTAGTCCCCGCTCTGCCATGGGTGACTTTGGGCCAGGCACTGACTTGCAGCCTAGCCTACCTCACAGGGCTGCTGTGAACAGAAAAGGGGGAAGAGGAGGAGGCTAGAAGCCCCTCTGGGGAAAAATGTTGGGATGCAATTATAAGAAATAGATCTGCAGCAGAGGAAGGCTGGAGTGGGGCTGTAGGTGGCCCCCGCTTGTCACATACCCAAAGGGCTGCTTCTGCGAAGGACTAAACTCTTCCTTCGCAAGGCCGCGGGAGAAATACCTGGAATCGTTGGCGAGCGCCGGAGGCAGCACCCAGAGCGCACCTTTGCCTTGCGGAAGGACCGCCGGGTCTCTGGCATCCAGTACGGCGGAATTCACTGTGGGAAAACGTGATTTGCCCTTGTTACAGCTGGAAACCCTTCTGTGGGGCGCCCCACCCCCCCAATGCCCTCTCACCCAGGGCAGGCGGCTCCGGATGCCAGAGGCCTGGCAGCCAGTCCCCCTCCTGGACACTGTCCTCGGGGATCCTCCGCTCCCCCTCCCCCTTTGGGCCAAACCTAGCACCCCCCCACTGTGCCGCAGCTGCCAGTCTGTCCCCACCGGCCTCACCTCGGAGCAGCTGCGGGATCTGCTGGTCATAGAAGCTGAGCCTGCGCAATGCGTCGGCCAGGGCCGACTTCACCAGCGTCAGCTCCTCTTCCTGGCTCCGCAGCCGCGAATCGAGGTCGGTGAGCCAGTGCGGCTGACGGGAGATGCCGTCGCCGTTATCCAAGAGGTTCTCGCCTGGAAGGAGACAGCAGCCGCCGAGCGAGCGGCGATTAGACCCAAGCACCAAAGGGGAGCTACATCCACAACAGGCTAATACAACACCCTCAGTGTAGATCCCGCCTTTAAAGACAACTTGGGAGCATCGGATGGCAATGAAAAACGAGAGAATTAAATGCTCGTGTGGCCAAAACTGTTGGGACACATCGCACCACTGATATGTCAGCTAGGTGGACTGACTGACTGTTTCCAGGCTCAGTCGAAAATGCCAGTTTTGGAGTTTGCAATCCTAAATCCGTCGTTATCTGTTTTTCGGCGCCAGGCCAAGACTTTTTTATTTAAACGTTATTTTAATTAATTGCTAATTTATTTATTGCCTGGATGTATCCGATTTTTATATTTTTGTATTGTTATTTATTTGTTGGAAGCCGCCCCGAGGCTTATGCGAAGGGGGCGGCATACAAGTTTCCCAAATAAAATAAATAAATAAATCGATCAGGTCCAGGCTACCTAAAGGAACGGATGCAGCTTACAGGCTGCTTGAGTTCTACAATCAGCGCCTGGGCATCTGTTTGCCACCCGGTAAGAAACCAGGTCCCAGAAGGAACCAGGAGCAGGGTCTTTCTGGTGGGGGTCCCCATTGCTCTGTCGAGACATCACTGTGGCTTTTTAAGAAAACGTGTATGATATTCCTATTTCAAAAAAACCCAATTCAATTCTTAATGAAGGTTTACTACTCGTTGCAGCAGATACTGCATGGATGCTGATTGCTCATTTTATGTATTGTTACATTTGTCACACACAATCACTGTGTATCTTGTCTTTCTGTGAATCTTGTGTGTTCTGATGAATGAAATGGAGCAGAGTCAGACTCCGTTCCCCTTGTATATAAATGACATTTTGCCTAAGAACATAAAGCAAGATTTTCCAGCCCTCCGGAAGTTGGATTACAGCTCCCATCCACCATAGGGCATGGGAATGATGTGGATTGTAGTGCAACCCATCTGGAGATCCCTAGATTGGAGAAGTTCAATGTAAATATTGCCTCAGTAGTTGAAACCAAGCTCCAGTTCACCCAGTACTCAGTTTCCAATGCTGGAAAGAATTTTTTCTGTTCAAAAGATACACTGCCACTAGGCTAGGAGATTCTGATTTTGGCTGTCATGGACTAATACTCAATGAGTTCATTTCTGTTAAAGTTAATTTGGCACTGCTTTAAATAAATCATTTGTTTAATCTGTGGATCGTGTTCACTGAACTTCAGATTTTAAAATCCCAAAGGTTGGGATAGGCCTACATTTCTAGGTAATGCATTCTGGGAAAAATAGGAAAAGCAACATCAAAAAAGGGGCCAGAAGAGAATAATTTGCATTAAATTTTGCACATGCCCTTCATGCAGACGACACCTGCAAATATAGGGCAATCCTCTTTCAGCCCTTAAGATAAAAGGACTGTCCTCTGTCAAATAGCACACACGGCCCCCTTAGCACCACGGGCACCAGTAACCCCGCACGAAGGCTGGGAACCCTTTCTAGTCCAAGGGGTGAACTCCGCTTTAGAGAAGCTCTTGGAGTCACAACCTGTTGGCGGGCAGCTTCGGCAAAAGGGGTGAAAAGTCAAAGGCAAACGGGGCGCAACTGTTTTTTAAAGCATATTTTAACTTAAATCTATTCTTGCCACTAAGTTAAGCCTCAGAGAGGGCATTTCAACCTTCTAAAACTGGGCGGTGGGGGGGGGGGGCGGATTGCACAAAAGCCAAGAAAAACCACGAAAAAATTGGGGGCCGAATTGGAGGCCCCAGCGCTGGAGAAACAGGACGGACTCTCTGCAGAACCTGGGAAGAATGGATTGGGGGTCCCATGCCTCTGCCCTATATACATGATCTCCCCCCATCTGGCAAAGAGGGGGAGGCATGTCAGCCTGGCCACCCATCCCTGCATCTTTCCCTCCTGCGTCTTGCACTGCCTCTCACATTCATGAACACAGAAAAGAGCCAGTCCGTATTTCTGCCCTTCGCAAACAAAACCAAGGACACCCACCACGGACCATAATTAACCCAACGGGGGGGAAATGCTGCAGTTTCCCAACCCGGAGGATACCACAGTTCACTGAGAAAGGGAGGGGGAGAAAGCAGAGGTCTCCTGGTTCCTGCCGTGGCCTCCATCTTGCAGGCAGCAAGCCCGGGCCTTGCTTCACGCCGGGCCAGCGTTGTTTGTACTGGCAGCGAAGGACCATGGCAGTTGGAAGGAAACGGCTCGCGTCTCAGACGTTTCTGACACCACCGTCAGCCACAGAATTTTGCCTTGAATAAAAGCATGTGGGCAGAAGAGGCCGAGGACTACGGGGCCCCTATTTGGGGTCTCATTTAGGGCTGTTTACAGGGGAGGCAGAGAACCGGGGACACACATATTCAATGTCACATCTAATGGAAAAGCGCTATGCAACCTTTGAGGAGAATTTTCCTGTCCAGGTGTACCTAGGGGAGACAGATGGGTTATTTTTGGGTTGGATTCACCCGCAAAACAGTCCTGGCAGCATTCTCCTCAGCAGCAGCAGACCTCGGACAAGGATGTCCCCATGAAGGTACCAGAGCATCATTACCCATCCGAGACCAAGCCGTTCCCAAAATCCTTTGCCTACCACACAAATCCTCCGCCACCGAGGCAGCGCTTCCCCACGCCGATCTACTAGGAAGATGTCCGCCAAGCCGAGAAGGTACAAGGAATTCTGAGCAGGAGGTATTAGCGGGACCCTGCTAATAAAAAGAGTCCCAGCACAGCATCCCTGCAAGTGCCAAGCCCACTACTCCGTCTAGCTGACTCTGGGGGCCTCTCTGTCTCCGCTCCCATCCCGTGCTCACTGAGCCTGAGGAATTGTTCCAGGGAACCCAAAAGCTGGCACAGTTGCGTGGAAGTGTCCAGGTGCAGATTTCCCTTTGTGAGTCCACACAGCTAATGTAACAGGTCTGCTTTAGCAGCGGACCTACATGTGAACGAGTGTGCTTAGATTTTTTCAGGGTACCCACAACCAGTTGGAAGTCATGGAAAGAAAACACTGGGAGCTGGCAACGGGGCGGGCCAAACCGTTTTCCTGTCTGAGCCAACTGTCGCTGCAGTGGGGTTGTTTTCTTCTTGGAGGCAGCCACAAACTCCTTTGATGAAACCACCGTTCTCCCCAAGCCCCCAGCCAGCCGGGTCTTTGGCAGTCAAACTGGAGAAGTGGGTGGCAATGTAGGCCTACATCCAACATGCAGATGTGGGGCCATAAAAGAGGCTTGGATCCAAGGAGCTGGTACAAGAAACGGAGACTCTTGTTTGGGAAGGGCTCAGCTCCCCCTTTCCCCTCCTCCTTCCCCGTGCCAAGATGCATAGAAATCAAATGTGCTTCAAGGAGGAACAATACCCCCATACAGGCTCGGCTTTGTCCAGTTTTTCCTCCTCCGCACACTCATCCCAAAAGGCATGGTGAACAAAAAGGCTTTTTTTGTGACCTTTTTAATTCACATCCCTCCCAACCCTGTACAGCCAACTTGGGAGGACAAGGAGGAGAGAGTCATGGCTGGACAGATGCTGGAACAGGACTTTCTGCCACCCAAAAGCAAATCAGGGCAATGAGTTCGAATCCTCACTCAGCTGCTTTTTTCTGAAATGGGTCCCTCAGATGTCTGCAGGATACTGGGGATCTCATGGGCCTTTGCTACGTGCCTAAAATTATTTTCTGCTCCTGAGTGGCTGTTTCTTGGTTCTGCGTTATGAAGTGGAAAGTCCAGCCTGACATCTCAGTTTGAAAGCTGTGGTGGGGGGACGTGGTTTGGCTATAACATTGGGGGAATCAACAGTTGTTTGTGGATTTCATGGAATTTTTCCTCCATTATTTGGCCTTTAAACAAGCTGTTTCACTCTTAGATCCTACAACCCTCCATAATACCTAATTTCAGAGGTAGTATAATATACAAGAAGAGGGTTGGATGTTTGTGTATGTTACCAACTTTGTAACATTGCCACAAGAAATGTTTGTAAAGCACTTAAGAAAAAGTATTCTTTTATCAATCCCTGTTCTATCTGGCTACGAAAGATCCAGCTTTCCAGCATTGTTTTCTCTCTTTTTCCCCTCATCTGCCCAAAAAAACCATGAGGCCTAAACAAAATTTGTTATTATGAAGAACCTGAATGTAAACCTCCAAAGCAGCTGATCATATAGAAACAGAGCGAGTCAGAAGGGGCCTCCCGGGCCATCTAGTCTGACCTCCGGCACCAGCCGAAGCTGCTCACAACATGCCCACCATCTGCATGTCCAAACTATCTTTGAACACCTTCACCGATGGGGCCTCAACGGCCTCCCGTGGAAGCCATTCCACACCCTCGGGATCCTGACTGTCAGAAAGTGCTTCCTGGCATCCAAATTGAACCTTGGTTCCCTGAGCTTTGCTCCATTGGAGCGCGTCCTGCCTTCCTTTGCAATAACCTACTGAACTCTGATGCAATTTTTAACTTCATCTTTGCATCTAGAAATTTAATGAGATGTGTTTTAAAAGATGCAGGAATGGAATCACGTCTGAAAGCAACAATTGTTTTGGCCTCTTTCTGTCACCCCTTCTCTGACAAAGCCCCAAGGGTCCACGCCTCATTTTTTCTGCCCTGCACCCAAAACTCAGAGCCGGTGTGGTGTACAGGTTAAGAGTACAGGACTGGGATTTGGGAGATCTGGGTTCAAGTCATGTCATGGCGCTCACTGCGTAACTTCAGACTCTCTGCCTGACCTACCTCACAGGGTGGTTGTTGTGAGGATAAGACCGAGAGCAGGAGAAGAATTATACAAGCTGCCTTGAATTCCTTGGAAGGAAAAAAGGCTGGCTATAAATATAATAAAGAAGTAATCATCTTCCCCAGACATCGGTGAGTTGTGATGTCTGCGCAGAAACCAAAACCAAACACTAGAACGTCCTTTTTCTCCATGTTCCCACAGGAAATCCCACCCCCACAATCTTACACACCCTATCCTCCCTGCTAAACATGTTGGGTGACATTTTTGTGCAAGGTGCTCATGCGAGGAATTAAACCTCCCAGCCTCTCCCTGCCTGCACCGAGGGAAGCATCTCACTGACGCGCCAAAAGCGAGGCATCTGCCAGGCACTTAACCCCAACACTCCGCACACCAAGTCACATAACTCAGAGAGGAGAGAATTTTATTCCAAGTAAGCATGCCGTCATTTCCAGTAGCTACACTGCAAATGGGGAAAGAAAGGAGGGAAATGTACCTCTCCGTGTCGTCATATTATCACTGGGAAGTGAGCTGCAGAAGGGAGAAGGGAATGTGTGGCAGGTTAGGAGATGTGCAGGAAAGACCAGAAAACCCTGAATAAATTGTTTCTCTAGCCCCACTTCACAGATGATAGCTTTAACCAAGGGGTGACGGATGGAGACGCCCAAATAGGACCCCAAGGGAAAACAAGAGTTGTATTTTCTTGGGATGCTTCCAGAAAAGGGAGAGACCAGAAAGTGGCATTTCCCCTCAAGAGATACTTGCATTAAGGACAAAGAAGTAGAAGGAGCAGGAAAACACAGAAAACACGCAAGAAGAGGTTGCTGTCGACATCCGTGCACATGCGGGGAGATCAGTTTATAGACACCATAAACTTTTCTGTATAAGACAAGATGTTGATCTAGTTACTTTTTCTAGAAGGGCAGTTGCTTTAAGTCTGCTGCAGCGAAATCAACAGAGTCTCGTGAAACCAAAAAGTCCAACCAGTGCATGCTGACGTCAGTTTTATTGATTGATATGTACTGATTATATTTACACCCCGCCTTTTTTCTGTGAAAAACCCACAGTGGTTTGTATAATCTTTCTCCTCCTCATCTTCTCCTAATGCATGGGGCATATACATATGATTCGATGTGTTTAAAAAGGTGGTACTTCCACTCTGTTCTTTCCATGTAATGTTTACACCCTAACCAACCACACAAGCATATATCTACAAACGAGAAACCGGAGGTAGCTCACTGATTCTGCATGAATTTATCCCAAATAAACCCTCCAACCTTGTGAATTTTTTATATTTACCAGAAGTAGGCCAAATGATAAAGGATAAAAAGCTATCTAGAAGCCAAGCCCCTCAGAGTTCACCGTGCTGGTTGCAAGGCCCCATGATTGAACTTACCCTCTCTCCCATCTTTTTCCCCTTCAGTTATCACTAATTAAACTGAAATATATTATTCACTTAATATAAGGAAGGAGGACAACATTCATATGTGTGACGCAGACTCCCAGAAAAGAGCAACAGAAGAAATACATTCATACAGCACCCAAAGACACTTTCCCTTTCCACACAAGTTTTGTTACAAATACCACACCTAAGAATCTTTGAACCCAAGCCAGGACCTACCTAAGATGGAGGTAGTTCTTACCCAGCAGGTGAGAATTCACTGAAACTTGGGCTAGGATCAAAACAGGAGACATCTGCTCATTGCACTAGCAAAGAAGAAGTTTGTTTCTGAGACACCAGAGAGGTTAAATTAGCAGTTACGTACTGCAGGTCAAATACACTGTCATCTACACAACTGCCTTGGAAGGTAGGCTTGTGCTGTTATTTTGATGGAGCATGCAGAGAGATATGGAGCCAAGAGAAAAAGTTTTGCCTGATGCAGCCACTGAGGGTCTCTGACCTGAACCGGGGAGTTCCCAAATCACACGTTTAGCTATTCTGCTAAGCCAGGCAGAACATCGTTTCTTCTAAAACAGGGCAGAAAAGCACCATTTGGTTCATCACAGAACCAAAGCGGCCTGCGAAAGATTCGGGAACACTGCCCTAAGCAGTTAGACACTTTGGACCAGATAATGAACTCTGCACCAGTGATTCGTAGACTTGTAAAATTGACTTTGCTTTTGCAGTAAGATTGATCACCATCCCAAGATCTGGTGAAAAAGGCAGAATTTTAAAAATCTGAGCCCAGAAATTAGTTTTGTGACTTGCACCCCAGCCCCACCTCACCAAATTCCTGGTTCCTCCCAGCTTTTGTTTTAGCGATATACTTTAGGATGGTGCGTTGAATAATTTTGGGTGTGTGACTACCGTCAAATAAATGGGAGTCAGAAATCTTTGCCAATCTTCTGTAAATCCCCTAGAGATTTCTTACTAGCTTCTGTCCGTCTCACCCCCAGTCCCCCAAATATATGCTCTGTTTGTGTATTGTGGAGGAAATTTTGCAGCCGTAAATTGAGCAGTTGTTCAGGAAATCCTATCCATCACATGAGTAATCTTCTGATAAGTTTCTGAGGAAACAGAGGGGAAAAAAAACTGCAGGTCTAACTTAGTTACACATAAAGAACTATCTAGTATATGTTAGTTACCTCATCCATAATGAAGAGTAAAAAAGCAGTAAAAGGAGGAAACAGATGAAAAAAGTAAAAAAGGAGAGAGAAAAGAGGAGAGATTTGTGAAGAAGAAACCCATGCACTGTAAGCCTCAAGCTGAAACAGCTGGATATGAATGTGATCAAGGTAACATAATTTCCCATCTATAAAATGGAAGTGAAAGTTGGGTCATACCTTGCAGGACTGTTGTGCACATGGAAAACTGGTAGAAATGTTGGTCTGCCCTGAGCTTTAAAGACATTAGTGGCTGGGGGATCTTTTATGTTTCAAGCAGTCAATAAAGAGACAACAGGTGGGACCCAAAGCAGATTCAAATTCAGTTGCAGGCTCTGTGACTTCATAGGATTCAGAAACTGCCCTGCACCCACTCCAGCCTCACCCTGTCCCACTGACTTTAACTCTGGATGTTGCAATCTGCAGCTTCCTCAATGCCCCAGGACTGATAGGAAGTATTCAGAGGCATGCCTGAGTGTGTTTACATACAGGACCGATCACAGACAAGAAACCAGACTCTGGGTGTCTTTGCCCAGAGAATGGGACGGAAGAAAACCACAGTGAATTGGCAGTGCTGTAATTTCCTAGGAGCTTTCACATTACGCGTATGAGCTGAGGCAAGGGAGGGGAGGAACCAGTCTTGAAGCCCCTTAAAAAAAAGAAAGGGGAACCAGTCTGTGATTCTAGCAAAGGTGTACATGTCTGACACTTGGGAAAATGGAAATTGTGTGCATGCATGAAATGTGCACAGGTTGCAGTGCCTTTGTGCATGGAAATTCCGCTCACACAGACCGTCAAATGCACCACACACACACTCCCCTGTGATGCTGACGCACAATGTTGACCCAAGCGTGCAAGCTACAAGATTCACACTGTGTGTTCTTCCCCACACCCTTTCCACATAAGCCAGCCCCCACTTCCTCTGTAACTGTACACCACATCCAATATACACCTCTCTCTCTCTCTTCATAGGACAAACTGTCTTAAAGACATCAACAAGATTATTTTCTGCTCTGCAAGGCAGCATTCTCGGAATCTCTGCAAAACTCACCATCTAGCAGTCTTAGGTGCTCCGAAGCACAATAACAAGTATAAAAGCATGGGGCGAAGTGTGCAAAGGGAATGCAAGCGATGCTTTGCATCTTGCAAGTGTCTTGCACCGTCTCGGTGCAACCCCGCGCATACATCTAGGGCAGCCTGTTCCGATGGAGCGCACTCCCTCATAAACGCGAGCTTGGCATGGCATGCATCGGTTCCAGCCGGACTCTGACTTTACTCCGAAGTAAATACGCACACGATCTCAAGCCGGGCTAAACCGATCCCTTTCCTCCCCCACACAACGCTCTTTACTGGCTAAGTCCAGCAGGAGTTGGAAAAAAAGCGCGGGTCCGACTTCGCTTCCCAAGTAAATAAAGGCAGGTCGCTGACACGCGTTGCCGAGCCGAGCCGAGCCTCATGCCGTCGGGGGGGCGCTGCCCCACCTGTCTGCGGGCGGGGGCGCCCGAGCCAACGCGGGGAGCGGGCGCCCCGGGAGAAAGAGGCGCTGCTCCAGCTGAAAGCCCGTTCCCCCCCGCCTCGCCGGCGCCCCCCGCCTCGCCGGCGCCCCCGCGCGCGGGGAGAGGGGGCCGCGTCCGCGCCGGCCGGGGGGCAGGGGGGCAGCCCCGCACCCCCCCCACACACACACACGCAGCAGCAGCGGCAGCGGCGCAGCCGGGCTCACCGTCGGGGCTGAGCTCCGCGTAGCCGTCCATGGGGGCCGAGCAGCGGCGCGCCCCGCGCCCGCGCGCGCCCCGCCGCTCCTTCTGGCTGACAGGGCAGCGGCTGGACGCGCCGGAGGTCCCGAGGGCTGGGAGGAAGAGGAGGCGGCGGCGGCGGCGGCAGCGCCCGCCCCGCGCCGATCGTGCCGCCGGGGCCGGGCTCCCCCACCCCCAGGAAGCGGCGAGGGCGGTATGTCATTTCCCTTGCAGCGCGCAGCGGGAGGATGGCGCGTCGCGGGTGCGCCTTCGCGCGGGGACGCTGCCCGGCCGCGCCTCTGGCCGCGGCGGGCGGGCGGGACGGCCCGGGGCTCCGGCGGAACCGGCCCCCGGGGACGGGCCCCCCGGGGGGGGACCGAGCCCCCGGGGGGGGGGCGGGCCGCGACTGCCTGCGCCCCGCGAGGCGCTCGGAGGGCGCCGGCTGGGCAGGGCAGGGCTGGCCAGCGAGAGCGGCCGCGCCGGCTGCCCCGGTCGGTCCAAGTGCCGGGAGCCCCTCGCGATGGCTCGGGCGGCGCCACCGTGAGATAGATAAATAGAAATATGGGACAGCATCACTCAACCGACACAGTCCAGCGTGAAAACATGAAGCCGCACGTAAAATAATGGGGAAATTAAACGGGGTTGGCCGGGTGCCGACAAGGGAAAAAGCGTTGGTGTCAGACACACCTTGCCGGAAAGCAAGTTCCGAAGTTGAGGTGCCACCGCAGGGAAGGCCCTTCTCTGGGTTGCCACTCTTCTGATCTTTAAGGAGGGCTCCCAAAGAAGGACCTCTGAGCCAGGTTTATATGGAAGGAGGCACTGCTTCAAATAGCCAGGTCCTTTGGTCCTTTAGGGGCCAAAGTCCAGGGCTCTATGAGCCCCTCCCAGAATTTTATTTATATAGAGCTTTTCTATCCAGTCCTATTACAGGAAGTATCAGGACAGTCCTACAGTGAAAGCACAGCATCACATCCTCTATAAAATCTCAATTTAAACAACTATTCAACCTTTAAATATTGGGAAAATAAAAAAAGGGCTGGCCTGGTGCAGAAAATAATAAAGTGTCTTTTAAAGAATAAATAAAGCTGGACGACAATGACACAATGACAGCCGAGAGCTCCCCAGGGGCTGAGGACAGCAGAAACAAAGTCCATTTTATCCCTGTTGCGGCAATGATGCTACTACTGAAGTGAGTTAAAAATTCGAAACTGAGCAGAACGCACCCACATTATTTTCCGTATCTGTTTTTCCTTCTCTGTATACTCTATCCATTCTCTAAGTCCCAGGGGCCTCCCTTTGATGAAGACTGGCAAGCCAGCCACAAAGGAGGCCTGCTCCGTGGTAGCCCCGCAATTCTGGGACAATTTCCACAATGTGCCAACATCATTACCTGCCAGGTACCAGGCTAAGACCTTTCTCTCAAGCATCTGGCAGCATATGATGAGGTGTAACACAGAACCTGGATTTTTATTATTAATTTTGTTTTATTTGTATGTCTTTGTGTTCTGTGCATGTTTGTCTGTTAAAACCATCAAAAATGCAATATTAAGTGTTATGTCAGTTTAGAACCATAATAAAGGAAATCCATGAAAATGGATTTGTTTCTTTAACTTTTTGGAAAAGTTCTAAAGGGAGCTATGGCGGAGGGAAGGGGTGTGCCTGTGTGGGTGCCATCGAAAGCAGGCCCTTACGTTAAGAACCTAACATAGTCAAACGGCTAGTTTTCAACTGTGGGCAACCAGATGCATAGCTAAGAACACAAAAAGGGCATGAGGAGAACAGCCTTGCCTTGCTGTTTGCCTTCCTGCCTCTGGTAACTGGTAGACTGCTGCTGAACAAGGAGGTTCCATTTGGCTGGAATGGTTCATAGTTGCAGATTGGTCTGACTTTTTAATTTGGTTTGCAGAACCTCATGCCCTCTGGGGAATCACTTTCATGGCCTCTCAGCTTTTCTGCACCTGTGTCTGTCAGCACCATGGGGAGTCCTGATTTCTCTGCTCACCTCCTCCCGAAAAAACCCTAAACATTCTGACACTGAACTTGCATGTACCCAGAGAGCCTAGAAAGCAGTCAGTTCCTCAACCCCGTAACACAGGATTGACCCTTTTACGCAGCCTTTCCCAACAAGGTACCTTCCAGAGATAGAGGACTACAATTTCCAGCATCCCTCACTGAGCTGATCTCATAAAACAGACAAAAAAACCTGATTCACCACGGCTGCACATTATTCTTTGGTTTCCAGATCCTTTGCCAAACCACAAAACACCAGAAAGAAACTTTAGAAGTCCTGCTCCCCTGCTTTGCTACAGCCGGGAACCTTCTCTTTTGGGAAGAGAACAAAGAGGCTGAGAATCTTTTCATTCCCAAGTGGGCATTCAAGGAGGAAGTCTGAAGGGAAACATTGCACAGATAAGCGACGGTCTGTTGGCTCTGGGCCTGGCCAGCAGCTGCAATTCTGCAAACAGGGAAAACAGAAGCTGCTGAAGGATCTTCTCCCAACGGAGGGATGGAGAAACTCAGGCCTGGGGGGCAATTGGCTCATCCGGGGGGGGGGGGGCCCCAAAAAGCCCCTTTCCCCCAACCGGGGGTTGTTGGGTTTTTTGGGGTTTTGGGCCCCCCCCCCCCCCCACTGCTGCAATGGACCCTCCTGCACGAGTTTCTCTGAAATTATACCTGAAAGAGCCTTCAACAAAAGACAACACTGGTCCGTCAGACCTCCAAGATGGCACCATCTTAATAAGAAATGGACTATGCTCCCAGAATCTGGTCCCTGAAAGGTCGGGCTGCAGCTCTTACGTGTCAAAACGCGTTTGTGTGGTAACTCAGCTGTGACGGTCCTTCTCTCCAGCTGCCCTTCCAGGGCGTGGAGGCCGGATGTGATCCCATCAGGATGACAGGTCCAAAGAGCTGCAGGGCACTGAAGGCAAGCAGCAGGAACATCAGGTTGCAGACGGAAGCTTAAGCATTCCCAGCCCACCCCAAATTTATATTCCACTGAAAGGCAAAAAGCTGGAGCAAGCACGGCCGTGCAGGACTGAAGTCTCCCAAATTCCGGCCCTCGCAGTGGCAAAGATATGCTTGAAGGTACGGGGCCGAAAGAGTGAAAGGCAGGAAGGGGGCTATCGCTCCACGAAAGCACAGCTTATGTACCTTCCCAACCCTGTATGCTCCTCCCCAAGCCGTCCCCCACCCTCCCAAGCACAGGAGACAATGATACCTATCACAGAATTCACCTCTGCCAGGTGCAGGATTTGGCTTCCCTAAATGCAGGGTTTTAATGTTTTGGTTTAAACTACAAAGTAGAAACAGCCTCATGCTGTAAGTGGGAGAATACACAGGGCAGGGGAGCAGAAAAGTAGCCCCACTGATATTGCCCAGGGGAGTCATTACTATTTTCCCTGGGCCTTTGTGACTTATTCTCCCCGGAGAAAGAGTAAAATTCCTCTCCCAAGGCTTTGTTACTGGCAGTTAATAGATTGAGTGGTTATGAGTGTAGGACTGGGACTCAGGAGATCTGGGCTCGAGTCCCCGCTCAGCCATGGAGCCAACAGGGTGACTTTGGACCAGTCCCAGACTCTCAGCCCAGCCTTCCTCACAGGGTTGTTGCTGCGGGGAGAAGATTGAGAGCAGGAGGAGGAGAAAGATGCGAGCCACTTTGAGTCCATCAGAAAAAAGCTGGATGCAATGAATAAAGATGCCGGTTCTTCGACCATGCTGCCACCGGGATGCAGCCCCCTGCACTGAACACTGAAGAAGCCCGTTCCTCCTGCCACGGGGCAGCAGCCCAAGAAGGGGCGGTCAGCAATCCCCCTTGGCGGAGACAGACTGAGGCACGGAAGGCCCTTCCAGAAGCAGTGGGCATCGATGCGCTTTATTGACCACTGAGCATGCATGCTGCTGAGCGAGCCTCCAGCACATGCAGCTGGGGCACATGGGACACAAAGAACTTGGCGGCTCATGGGGACAGGAACCGGCCCCTCCCCAAGTCCGGGCCCGCAGCTTGGGAAGGGCTGAGAGGAGACGGTGCAAGGACTGGGGTTGGCAAAGGGACGGGGGGCCATCGCCACCTCCAACGCAGCCCCCCGAAATCCGCCTAGCCTGCAAATACATACAGGCACCTTTGCTTCTCCCTTAGATGACCACTCGGGTCTGGAATCTGAGACTTTTGGAAGCCCTCTCCCACCCATTTTAGTTTCTGTTTGTGGAAGGCTATGGAGAGGGGGGTGACCTGGCTAAAACTGAGGGGGTAAGGCGTGAGGTTTGTGGGTTTTCTTGAGAGCCTCGGTCTCCCCGGCCCGGTAAACTGTATTGCAGGAATCAGATCCAGCAAAGCACGGAGGGTGCAGGGAACGGGGAGGGCAGGGCAGGGCAGGGCAGGGCCAAAGCCGGCTGGGCGGCTCTCCCCTAGAAGCAGCATTCAAGGAAGGGGGAATTTAAAGAGGGGAACAGCAGCACTGAAACGGAGGCACCTTCCCGGCGCGCGTGTAGCAGCACTTAGGAAAAGACTCTTCTCGTTGGAGGCAGGGCGTGTCCCCTCCACCCCACCTGGGAAGGGGCACAGACGTCGAGCTCTTCCTTAATAAATAAAAAAGGTCCCAGGGTGCCAGGTCCGTGGATGAGGGCCAAGGGACAGGGCCGGCAGCTGCGCCTCTTCCTCTCCGGCTGCTCACCCCAGCTCTTCCCCAGGTCCCAGGGAAATCCTGCCAACTTCACCAGCGTGGGGTCCCCCAGTCACACCTCGATGCTGGGGTCGGAGCCCAGGCCTTGCTTCTGCAGCAGCTCTTCTTGCTTCATCTTGGGCTTCTCTGTCCGGGTGTGCCACACGAGCACCTGCAAGAAGCCGGCGGCAAGAGGGTGAGGGCCTCGGGGTTTACTCCTCCTCTTTCCCCATCAGTATCAGATATCTAGGAATGGCCCATAAAAACAGGGTTGGGCAGGTTTAGGCCGTCTGGCGGCCTGTTTCCAGCCATTGCCACCCTGTCAGATTTCGCTGTGGCAAAGAGCCCGACTGTTTGGGGCTGAGAACTGGAATCACAAAAGGGCAAATGGATGGTTCGTTCCTGGTGCCAGGTGCCTGTAAAGGGCAAATTCAAGGCAAGTGGTCTGAAGGCTGCCTCTACCTATTACAGGATAAAAAGAGGAGGCCCTCACTGGTAGAACTAAGGAAAATGGCCCAAGAGCTAGAGAGGAGAAACTGCGCAGGTAACGTCTGCTGTGCTGTGGGCAGGTTATTTCCACCACATAAAGAAAGCAGCCTTCCCAGCCCAGCACCGTCCTTATCTGTCAGGCGGACACTTCAAACGGCTGGGCTGCATGGGGATGCTGGAGGCACAGTCCGGCCTAACTGAAGGGCACCAGGTTGGAGAAGGCTGAGAATAACAAAGGCCCCTCCCAACACAATGCTTCCCTTGAAGTTGCCACTCAGGCTGCAAGGCTGGGAGAAGAAAAGCTGGGGCAAAAGACAAGCGGGAGAGGGAAAGAAAGTGCAGGTGGCCACTGAGACCCTCAGATGGGGGTGCCTGCCATGATCTCGAATTGGGAGGGGGGATCCCCTGAGTTTGCCGCTGTCCAAACTGGGTCCCCCACCTGCAGGCATTGCTCCTTGATGGCAGCCACCCTACGGGGGCCCCTGGTCCAGACCCCAGCTGCCCTGGGACCGCTGTGACTCAAGGAAGCGAAAATCGGCTGGCCGGGGCTGCGAGAAACTGAAGTCTGAAACAAGGCCTGACCCCGAGAGGAAGAGAAGCAGAGCCGGCCGCATCCCCCGGCTGCTGCCAGTGCCTCCCCCTGCCCTCACCTTGGTGCAGTTGTCCGCTTTGGGCTCCAGCTCCTCAATCGACACCAGCGACTGCAGCAGGCTGCTCTCCAGGTAGCCGCGCTCGGCCTGCAAGTCGAAGCGAGCCTCCCGGTTGGCCAGGAGCAGCGGGAGGGACACGGCGAAGCCGGCCATGTCCATGGGGAAGGGCCGGCTGGGCTTCCAGGCGGTGTAGAAGCCCACGACTCTGCCGTTCTCCACCAGGGGGCGCTCGAAGCGGAGGCCGCCCACCAGGCCAACGGGCCACACCGAGACGCGTTTGGTGGAGCGGATCTGGGGGAAGACAGGTGGGGATCGGGGGAGAGAGAGAGAATTTGGGAAGGGCCTCTCGGCATCAGCAGCTGGAGGAGGAAGCTAGGCCCACAGCAGGCCGTGCAGGCTAGGATGCACCTGGGCCCCGATCTCTGCTTCACAGCCTACTCAGTCCCTGCTCTTAGTCTAACCCAGGCCTACAGGCACCCCAGTAGCCCTCCTATGCCCAAGCTATGTGAGGCAGGAGGGCAGACAATCTGAAGAGCCGCGGTCTATTTCTGAGAAGCTTCCAGAGGCCACGTTCCAGTAGCAAAAGGGCCGGATCAAAAATGCCGGCATGATCTTGTTCTAAAGCTTTCAGGAAGCCTCAGCAGAGGTGCTTCAAACTTTTAAAATGGGCTGACCCTCATCCCATGTTCTTTAGGGGTTGAGAAAATATTCCTTCTAAATAAGAACCAGGTTGACTTATTCCAGTTTGTTCCTTTACACCAGCCTTCCCCTTCTTGGTGCCCTCCAGATGACTTGGGCTGCAACTTCCATTATCCCCAGCTGGCACAGCCAACGTCCACAGGGATGGCAGGAGCTGCAGCCCAACACAATGGGGGGGGGGCACCAGAGCCCCTCAACGGCAGGATCCGGAAAATTCAAGAATGCTGAGACGCCCACCCAGAGCTGCTTCCTCCCACGGCCTTTCTGGCTCCTTCCCGGCCACTCTGCCGCACCCCTCCACCCTGCAGCACTCACTTCGTCGAAGAGCCGGAGGCTGTAGGTGTTGTCGTCGTCTGCAAAATACACGGTTCCCTTGTCCCCGAGCTGGCGGTTCTCCCGCAGCCACTGCAGCGCCAGGTTCCGCTGCTCTACCCCACGAGGCTTCAGCCAATTGGGGTCGCTCTCCTTCCGCTTGTGCTCCTTGGGAGTCTCCGCGTGGAGGTGCGTGAAGCGCAGGCGGCTCTGGGCCAGCAGTTCGGAGACCAGCTGGGTCTTCACCGGCGAATCCTCAACTACAATCCAGTGCAAGTTCTTCACATGCAGGAGGGTCTGGGAAAGGCGCACCAGCTCGGCCTTCTGGACAAGCCTACGGAGGAGGAAGGGACAGTCAATGGAACAGCCTCAGACAGAGCTGCACCCCTGGCCGTTGAGGATGGAGTGGCCTACTCCAGCCTTCGCCGAGCCTTCTACAATCCCAGCATCCCCCAGGAGGGTTGGAGGACCTGCTAGGAAGATGCCAAATTGGTGGTGGCTGGTCTGCTTGGACTGACAGCAGCTCTTCTGAGTCTTGGGCTGGCTGGGCTGCTTCCTAGATTCCTATGTAAATCAGTGCCACATTCAGAACCATGTGGACTAGAACCTTACTTTATTCTTAGCAGAAGGGCCGTAACTGAATGGTGGAGAACCTGCTAGGCATGTGGAAGGTCCTGGGTTCAACCTACAGAATCTTCAGGCAGGGCAGCAAAAGACTCGTGCCAGAAATCTGGCCAGCTGCTGCTGTACATTGTCAATAAGAGCAGGCTAGCCAGGCCAAGGATCTGACTCGATATGAGCACAAATAGAAAAGCTTGCGGCAGATGAAGGTGCAAACTGATGCACAGTTTCCTTTATCCTGAGTGGTACCACTAGTCCTTTTAGGCTGCAACCGCACCCTTTTACTAGTAGCACCTCTCCCTAGTCTGAGAAACCAGAAATGGGACAGGCTGCACATGAATCCTTCTGCGTGCAAAGTATATACTCAGCAAAACTGTGACCCCCACCCTCCCCACCCAGAATAGGTCAAGCTGATCGACCATCCCTGTGTGTGCCAGGGCCAGGAGGCAACATGCAGCCCTCCAGCTGCACAGGCCTGCACTCCCCCCAGGCCTAAGCAGCAGCATAGCCGGTAATACGGGATCAAGGCAGCGGCAGGCCAAAATATCTGGAAGGCTGCAAGGTGCCCACCCCAGTCTGAGGGAGTGGGAGTGGAGCTCCAGGGTTCTGGAGACTTACCTAGCATAGGTGGGTGTGATGGCATAGATGACCGACAGCTCTTGTTCTGCGGGCTCCAGCGCCTTCTCTCGCCCCTGCAGCCGCTTCAGCTCACTGTGCAGCTGGGAGAGCTTCTTCTCCTTGGCATGCAGGAGGTCACTGGCTGACTTCAGGTGCAGGGTGCAGTCGCAGGGCTGTCCTAAAGCCAAAGGAAGAAACATCAACAAACAGCTGCGGTGGAAATAGTCGCTGATACCTCACCCACCCTGGGTGTTTTGGGACTATAGCTCCCATCCTCCTTGCCCAATGGTCCTGCTGGCTGGGGCTGAAAGGAACTGAAGTCAAACGCATCTAGAGTGATTCTGGTTGGGGAAAGGTGAGTTACATTATGCACCATTCTGCCGGCAAAATATTTAGGAATTAATAGCTTTCATATAATGTTCATACGGCAAAAAAGCTCTCTGAACAGTGTCCAACAGGGACAAAAACCATATAAAAATACAACATAATATAAGTACATTGATGCTGATAAGCCATCAACAACGCCACTCAAAATTCAAAACATCATAAACAACATTTAATAAATAATTAATTTTATATTGTATTTTTGTATTTTTAATCTAATGTTTATATTTTTTAATTTAATATTATAATTATTTTTTAATTTATTGTTGTAAGCCGCCCCGAGGCTTCGGCGAATGGGGCGGCATAAAAATGTTTTAATAAATAAATAAATAAAATAATTAAGAGTAATAAACATCACCAAAATAACAGTTTATTCACAGTGATACCAATGACCAATTATATAATTGGTCAGATATCAATTGTATATAACACCAACAATATCTTATATAATATTAAAATATAAGGGAAGGGTAAAAGTTCTCTGGCCCTCGGAGCTTATACCTGAAACTGAGACTGAAGAAAGGCAAGAGAGTGGAACTTCTCTCCTTTTTTTCCCTTAACTACCTTAGGGTGAGTTAAGCAAATGCAGATTTTTTGCAATTTAAATCTATGCATGTTCACACAGCAGTAAATCCCATTATGTCCCAGTGGGGCTTATTTCCTAATAAATATGTCTAGGCCTGGTTGCTTTGACTTGCAGTTAACTTTAACAAGGTAAGAGGCTCTTGTTTAGGCAGAATTTAGACAAATGCATGGAGAATAAATTAGCCACAAAAGCTACCTGGAACCTCTGGATTCAGGCAGTGTCTGGGATAAACTACAGGACTGATCCAGCAACATGGTTTTCATATTCTTAGTACTGTGAGAACCATCTTCCTCTTTTGCCACTCACCCAGCTGCAGAAGCGCATACATTAGACCGATCACTGAAACCAGGAAATAGATGACAAAAACGTTCTTCAATTTCACCTTCATTGCAAAACCTGAAGGAGAAAACATAGCTTAGTCACAGGAATGTTTTTCAGTAAGACTTGCAGAATCCTGGGAATGGCCAGCAATGTGAGATGGAAAGTTTTCCACTACTACCCTTTTCCATACTGTCTTTCATGGGTTGGAACTCTGGTATTCCAAAACACCATTTAGAAAATCCAAAATATCTAGCGATCCACCTTTTGCCCACCCAGGCCCTAGGATTCATCTAGTCCAGCATTTCCCCAATCTGGTACTGCCCCCTATAATTGCTACAGGTCCTAGACAAAATGCACCCATGGTCAGGAGTGAGCGGGGTTGTGCTCCAGCAACATCTGGAGCACATCAGTTTGGAGAAGCCCGTCTTAGCCTAAAAAAGAGTTCTAGAGAACTCAGAAGCTACTTTGCTATTTGGCTTCTCTAGGTAGACTATTTATGCCCTGCCTTTTTTTTTCTGCAAGGAAGCCAAGGTGCCTTACCTCATCTTCTCCATCTCATCCTCACACCAACAACCTTGCAAGGCAGGTCAGTCTGAGAGTCCGCGACTAACCCAAAACCCCTCAGGGAGCTTCCTGGCAGAGTGGGGCCTCGAACACGCGGACCTCCCAAGGCCCAGCCCAGGGCTCTAATCACTACCCCACACGGGCTTTTCCTAGGCTCGGCTTAAGAAAGACAGCATTACCCGAATGCGGATTTTGGGGTTATTTATCTACTGCCTTCACGGCCAACCCTGCTCACCCTGACTCGTATTTTAAGAAACCGGGTCCCCCTGTCCTCTAGCATCCCCCTCCCACCCAATGCTTTTTCCATGCAAGACAACCTTCGGCGCTGCAGCTGCTGCAGGAGCAGCACGGGGGGTTTCAGCAGCCCTTGGCGGGGGCGGAAAATGAAATAATTTCTTTCTTGCCCCGTAAATGCGGCGGCGGCGGCGGCTCCCCTCATGCCCCGGCCCCGGTTACACGGATTCCCCCCCACCCGCCACCGGACGCTGCTCCTGGGAAGCACGGCGCGGAGACGGTGTGACACCGTTGCCATGGCGACGGAGCCATGGCCGAGGCTCACCGCGCGTCCGTGAACGCCGGAGGAGGGAGAGCGGGGCTCAGTCCTCGGCTCCTCAACGGGCCCCCGCCGTATCCGGGCCCCCCGGCGCTCCTTCTGCTCTCGCCACAGCCATCTCACCACTTCCGGTGCGGGGTCCGTCCTTATTTGGTGTCCCCCGGCAGCTACTTCCATTCGGCCTTTCGTTCCTGCAGGATGCCTTTTTTCAACGATTATTGCAATTGGTAAATACGTCTTTATTTGCATTAGTGCAGGCTATTACCTTTCTATCCCGCCTATTTTTCTTTAAAAGGAACCTACGGCGGCTTACAAGGTTCTCTTTCCCTCCGTTTCTATATATGTTTGGATATAATGCTGTAAACCACCCAGAGAGCTTTGACTGTGGACGGTATAGAAATGCAATAATGAAAATAGTAATATCCACATCGGATATAGATCTCAATATTCTCTGGTTACATTTCAGTGAGATGCACCCTGTATTCCTAATTTGACCACTTCAGAAATATAAGATGGCTTTGTAAGAAATAAATGCTTTCTAGATATCTGGATATAGCATTCTTACATTATTCAATCTATTCCTATCTCTAATGGAGGTGTTTAATGAATCATATATTTAGGATATTCCAACTGTCATGCACCTTCAGATCATAGTCATGTGCCAGTTTCAAAAGTTAGCCCATCAAATAAACAAGCAACTGATTCTAAGAATGCAAGGGAATGAAATATTCTTCAGTTGCTTGAAAAAGGCAAACGTGTAAACACTCTAGAAACACAACTTTTTTGTTTGTTTTTGTTTCTCAGGACAGGCTGTTAGAACTCCAGCTAGGGACTGCCAGCTATTTTTACCCCCACCCCACCAAAAAAAACCCTCTGACACTTCAGGCAGTGCCTCTGAACTTATGCAGAATGCCTTGTTGCCAAGCAAAGAAATCTCAGCAAAATACCTCTGGGCATGTGGCACACAGTACCCCTTTTGGGTACGTGAGCAAGTTTCGCCCCCAACCCAAAAGTGTCTTCACATCACCACCATGCAAAGAGTTAATCATAGCTCGGGTTCTCCAAATGGCAAAAACCAGAGGGTTATGTCCCTAGATGATCATTACATTATCTGCTGAATCTCCAATTTCCCACCAGTCGATTGGGGGTGGGGGCTGTTGAATTTTTTTAGCCTTTTAAAGCTTGCACTGAATACAGACTACATAAAAGTGGTGAACCACAGAAAGGGGTTCTGGAACTATTACACCGTCATGGTTTTGGCTAGCCTATTCAGGCCTCCTTACCATGGAGACAAGTAAGAAAATACTGCCAAATATTTGGGTTATGTTTGAAGTGTATGGAAGTTCCATCTGAGGATATGTCTGGAGAAAGCTCTTACGTCAGCACCACAACCAAGTCTGCAGGTTAATCCCACAGGGTCTAAAGCATGGGCTGAAAAGAAGGCAGAAGGTCTCGGTAGAATCACAATTGATCAGGTGGGATGTTTTTACTTCTAGTTGTCTACCAAAAGCAACAGTTAGAAAGCATCTCATCTCAAATTAGGTTGCCGAGAAAAGAATGCCCCGGGAGAAAGCATGAGTAGATTCGGAGGAAGCTCTTGAACTTGGTTGTGATGCTGATTACAAATTCATGAGCTGAGCACCATTCCTTCACTCTGAGCAAATGTCTAACCTGTTTTGCCCCTGCCTCCAGTTGGTGGACCTCAGGTTTTCATTAAAAAGCAAGCCTCAAGCTTTTATTATGGGCAGTTCAAAAAAAAAAAACTTTGTTTAGACATTTTGAGCAACTCCTTTTGTCAGAGGGGGGAAAAGAGTGTAAATTTTTTAGCAATACATTTAAAGTCTTCTCTAAATACGTCTCCTCTCGTTGTAAAGTCAACACCCCATATAAGAAACAGCTTACTTACATCTCCAGACATTTAATAACTGATTTTATACTGCTTAAATTATAAAGTTTTACCTCGTTCCATAGTTTTAGCATACTATTTTAACCTTTTCACATCTAATCTCTCAGCTGATATTGTTTTACTGTATATTGTTATGTATATGTTTGTATGTTTATTGTGTTTTATTATTGCATATTGCTATGCATGGTTAGTTTTATTGTCGCTATTTGATGTTTCAATTTTGCTCTTACTGTTGTCTTACTTGTTTTCCTGTAGTCCTCTAGAGAGTGGAATCTAAGTTAAATAAATAAATGACTGTTTTATTAAAGTTGCATCCACATGTGTGGGGGTAGTTCTGTATTTTTTGAGGTTTGCTACAATTTTTGTTCTCATCATTATGTGGCCCAAACATATGATGCACACAGACACCACAAATCTATGCTTCTTGCATGGCAAGCTTTGACATATGACTGGTCACAGGAAAAGGCCAAACAAAAGACTTTCAATTTAATTTGACTTTTTGTTTGGTTTTTATTGTCCATCTTTTATCAAAACACTCAGGTCAGTGAAAGCTTTACCTGCAGATGAAACCACAAATCAGGAAGGGGTAGAAAAGTGTGTGTGTTAAGAAGGAAATTTGACTTTTGTTGTTGTTTAGTTAAAAGCCTTGCTCTTGGTCTTTTGCCTGCAAACACACAAGGGAGAACCAGCCAGAACCAGGAATGTTAATCCACATACACACAAAAGACGGCCAAAGAAAGCCACACAGCCTAGTCGGAGGGCAAGAGGAGCGAAGATAGCCAGAAACAGGGATCAGGAAATGGAGCAAGGAGGAGCAAGGAGTACACAGGAGCAAGGAGTACAAAATTCCAGCCAGTTCCCCCTATAGGAAGATACCCCCTTTTTCTTCTTCCAGCAGGGGGAAGACTTTTCCTTAGCAGCTTGTACCCCCACCCACCCCCATGCCTACATCTTCTCTTTTTAGGTCCCAGTGCAGGACAAAAAACGTTAAGTTTTTACTTGTTCCCAAGCCAGATTGCTCTGCTTGTCCCTCTTCACATGATCTGTCTTGCCAATTCTCCCCAACTCTCCCCACCCCAAAAAAAACAAAAAACCCCATAAATAGAAGTGACAGTGATTCACTGACACCTGGACTCCCCCCTGGAAAATATTCCTCATCATCTGCAGTGCTAAGAATTGGAGTAGAGGTGATTAAAGAAACAAGACCCTTTTAGGATGTGCAAGGCACATGATAAAAGGGCGGGGGGGGGGCCTTATCTAGCCAGACCCTTTGTCTCTTGCTTAGGGCGAGGGTCCTTATAGTGGGTGGAGGGAACAATGGAAGAGAAATGCTCTATACATTCACCTGTTGGCAAGCAAAGGAGGTTCAAAGGCGGTCTTGCCAGCATTGTTGTTGTTTTAATTGGTCCAGATGGTGGCTTGGAACTCGAGCCAGAGATGAAGAGGAGGATGGAGGGGGAGAAGGGTGGATTAGATACCCCTGCCTATTCTGGAAAGGCCCAGCCCCCTCAAAAGGTTGGCCCCAATGTCGCATCTCCAGGAAGGAGAGGGGAAAGGAAGCGAGGGGGAGGCACTCTTCCTAGCCAGCCTGCCACAGAATTAGAAGGAACCGAGTCACAGCCAACTCCAACCTGGAGATTCTTCATTCTACAGCAAATATTGCTTAAAGTTAATCTATGGAGCCACCTGAAAAGATCAGAGTCCAAGACAGGGCTGCAGGGGAAGGGGGGCATGGCCACCCGCCCCCTGGACATGTCTGTGGGCACTTGGACCTGAGACACTATGGGCTGAGGGCTACCGAGCCTTCCCGACCCATGCGCCAGGGAAAGGGGGCTGGCCTGGAGCTCCCCAGCACTGCATCTCCCTGTCCTTCACCCCCTGACCCCATCCCCCCACCCCCGCCTCGTGGCATTATCGCAAGGAGATGCTCCAGTCTGCCCCGATGTTGACGGCGGGTTTGCGGATGGTTAAGACAGACGTTTCGGCCTCGTGGGTAAAATCCAGGCGAGTCTCAGCAGCACCTGCGAAGGGAAGGATCCAGGGAAGAGAGAGAGAGAAAGAGAGAGAGAGAGAGAGAGAATGAATGGGCACATCTGAAAGGATTTTGATTTCCCCAGAAGTCCTAGAAAATGACCCAAGAAAAGCTGAGTGGAACCTTCTTTAAAACTTAAGAGGTGAATATATTTTTTTTTCCAAACCATCATGGCTTGGGATACTGAGAGTTGTACTTTAACATATGTGGAGGCACCAGCTTGGAGAAAGGTGCTACAGAAAAAGAACCCCGAGACAGTTCAGCCCCTCTGGTATTTTAGAGCTGAATTTTTGTGGCCGCAGATGGACAGGAGGCGGCAGGTGGTGGGCAACATTTTTGCATGGGTAGAGGAAGAAAATGCGGGAAGGCCACCTTCTTAAAAATAGTTGTGATGGGAGCTTCGGCAGGCAAGGAAAAAATGAGGGCCAAGGCCGCCACAGAGTTTGTAGCCTTGTTTCTGGCATGTGTGAATGTGGAAATTGCCACGTCCCCTCCCACCCTAGGAGGAAAATGCTGATATTTCACATTACACATGACTGTACAACCCTCGTGCAAAAAATTCTCCACGGAGAGAGTTCCAGGCAGCAAAATAGGGCACATCAAAAGCTGAATTCTGTTTCAAATGTCAGTGACTTTTGCTTCATCTATGCTGAGCAGCAGTGGATCTCTGGGGCTTCAGCCTGACCTGGAGATGCTCTACCAACTGATTTATAACCGTTCCCTTAAAAACAACAGAAGTTTCCAGTCCTCATGGTTCTGAATAAAGGGCTGATTTCACTAGGAGGTTAGGGAGCTGGTTTGCATCATGTCAGATGGCTGGTTTTCCTCATCACCAGCTATACTTGTTTACTTGACTCACTAGTGGTCGAATCTGGGACGTCCTGCATGTAAACCAAAGGGTCCTAATCAAATCACACTGGGGTCTTAATCTGACCCTACTGTGTCCCCATTTAGCCACACTTCCTCGCTCTGTCGCCACCCCCTGTCCACCGGCTGTACGATACTTTCTTGATTTTTCCCCCTCTCCAAAACAGCAGGGTCAGTGCAACCCACCGACCCCAGTCGCTCACCCTCTTGTTGAAGGAACACCGCCGCTGGCTTGCCAGCTCCCAGGATCACCACCCGTTCAATCCAGGCTTCTGTCTCAAAGGTGCCCTTCGGGTCTGCGGAGCTGCAAGATTGGGGTGGGGAGGAAACAGTGCGGCTTCAGAGAACAGGGAAGTGATCCCGCAGTCGTGGCTGCCAGATGCAGGGCTAGGCTACCAAATGGGAACAGCCACAAGAAGGACTCTCTGTTCGGAGGACCAGGTTCAGAAAGTTTTACAAACAAAGACGGGTGGATTCGGGCCACAGATGCCTCACGAAACTTATGGCGGGGGGCAAAGGATATTAAAGCTTTCACTGGGCTGCCATTTGATGAAAAGAAATTTTAGTGGGTTAATCTTATGGGTTTAATTGGCTAAGTCTCAAGGACATCACAAACTTCTGGAATGCCACATCTTTTAGCCACCTTCCTTCCTGTATTCCAGAGGAAAGCAAGCCTATTTGTAGGAAGAAAAGAATTCCTACAATTCCCAGGATGCCCCTGCCAGCACAGCTGGGAGCTGTAAGCCTTTCTTCTGTCCAAACATGCAGAAGTTCGCTCCTTCATGCTCTCTCCACCCCTGTACCTATCTGAGAAAGAAGTGAAATTTTAAACCATCTGGTCAAAGAAGTAGAAGCACCGTTTTAGTTAACCAAACGATCGCAGGGTAATCTCTCCTGCTGCGCCCTCTACTTCCTTTCAACATGGTAGGGATGCAAATTAATTTTATACGCAACTAATTCAGAAGTTCAGCTAGACACCTGCAAGTTCCTCTTCTAGTTTAAATGTCTAGCTGAGCATGTGGGTGCCAGGAGTGAGGAACAAAAGCTTTCTTCCAAGTCTCAAGGCCTTGCTAGGAAAAGACCGGGACCGACAGGGCGGTAATAGGGCAGCCGTAAGCTCTGTGTTTTAAGCTGTGGGTGCAGCAAAGCACTATTGCGTGATCAAATGTTTTCAATGCAGTGGCTGAGTCTGTGTTCAAACTGTGCTGCTTCACAGGGTTGAATGCTCACCAGGGCAAAACCCTTCCCCGCACATAGAAACCTAGCATGTCAGGACTAGGCGAGAACTTCTCTCCCTGGCAGTGTAGCTTTCTGTGTGCGGGGATACATAAAGAGGGACATTCCATCCTACAACTGCTCCATCTGCAAGGCAGGGCAGCTCTGGCACACGTTTGCTCCCACGGGGGGGGGGGGGTACCAAACCCCAGGCAGGCCCAGGCGTGGGGTGCTACAAGAAAGGAAGGAGGGGGGGAGGGAAGAGAGGAGGGGGGCGGGTACCTGGCTATCAGTACGTTGCCGGAGAAGTTGAAGTGGCGATGCAGGTACTGTTTCTTCGTTTCGAAGCTGAATGTGTGTCCGTCATCAAGGAAGAGGTCACCCTGCGCTGTGCCCTGGGTGTGAGGAAGGCACAGAACAACAGTGAGGAGGGAAGGGGAACCTCTGGGCAAACATGGCTAGCAGGGCACCCCCTCTCACCCCTTGCCTGCCCTCCCTCCCACGAAGGACATCACTGCTGGGCTGGAAGGTCTATTTTCCCAAGTATCTGGGTCATGCCGGAAGCTCTCGGACGTCCTTCTGCCTCAGCACGCCAAGGATTGCGACCTAAGTACCTCTGCTTCTGTGTAATTGTGTGTTCGTGCCGGTTTGTGCTATCATTCTGGCAGCCGTCAGACAGCCCTGCCTGGGGCTGCACCCCCAGCGGACTTGCTCGCCACCCATTAAGACAGGGGGCCCAGAAACAGCGGCTGGCTTCCGCAGGCTGGACCCTGCTTCGGGCCACGAAGGCTGGCTCCGCTGCCAACCCCCACACCGGCCCCGATCGAGCCATACAGAGCAGGTTCCCGAGCGCCCCTGCTCAGGCACTTGCCGCTCACCTGGGGGCCCAGGGCCACGAAGAGGGTGTAAGGGTCTTTGTGCATGCAGTCTGAGGAACGCCTCACTCGCTCCTTCCGGGCCACGATGCTGCCGCCCCGCTGGTACACGGGAATCTGCAGAGAAGCGCATCACAGGAGCAGGCTCAAGAGGGGCTGCCAGCCAGAAAGTATGTGCAGGATCTTCCCCGAGAGCTCTGGGGCACCTAAAGCAGACTGGCACAGGCTTCCGATGCCCCCTTTTCATTATTATGTCTGCTGTAATGTATCGCTTTGGCTCGCAATCGTACCGACCCAAGAACAATGAAATAACAAATGGAGCCAAAAACACAGCAGTGAAACTGGCGATAAAGATTTAAAATGTTTAGCAGCCAGTGCTAAAGTTAATAAAGCCACAGAGGAAAGGGAAAGAGAATCTTTCACCCAGTATCCAAATGCAGGCAGTGCGGATGGCAGGCCCACGTGAGCAGGGCCATGGCAGGAAAGGCCCTTTTCCTCGGTGGCCTCCCATTGTGCCACTGGGGTGGCAGAACGCCAAGGAAAAGCCTCGCCCCATATAAAGTAGGATTCCTGCCAAAGGGGAACCTCCCTCCGCCCAGGCCCTCTTTGACTTACGCTGCTCATGGTGACAGCCAAATAGAGGGTTTGGGGCGCGTGAAGCTTCTGGTGGGTGTGGACGTCGTACCAAATCTACACGGAAGAAAAAAGGAAGATAAGCCGAGTTTCCAGGGAGAGGAAGGGGCTGCCATCGGGGCCTGGGCACAGCATCTTTTGTAAGCCATCTCTCATTCTTTGTAAGCCACCCTGAGAAATTTGTAGTGGGTAGGTTCAAAAAGCGTTTCATCAAATCGATCGATCAATCTTGGAAGTCCTGTAGAAGAGCGGATTTCAAATAAGGCAGGAATTTGGCATTCCTGCCAGGAAGGCAGAAAAAGAGGGGGCCCTCAGCAGGGGAGAAAAGATTCTCATCCCTGCCTTAAAAGGCTGACTCAAGTACCCAGGCCTCAGGACAAATGCTCCAATACAGGCCAGTGCTGGTCTACTAAAGCCTCCAACGTTCAGGAGAGGGTACGTTTGGACCTTGCATCACCATCATTTCCACTTTGCATTTATAGCCCGCGTTTTTCCTCTTGTGAGGAACCCAAGAGAGCCTGAGCCTCACTCACAACAACCCTGTGAGGTAGGGGAGGCCGAGAGAGAGCTTGACTGGCCTCATCAGCCCATGAGCTTCAGGGCTGAGTGGGGACTAGAACCAGGATCGCCCAGGCCACCGCTAAGCACCACCCCATTCTGTCTGTCCACCCGTCTGTCATCTTCTAATCTCCATCAACGATTCTGTGTTCTCAACCCACTTTCAGTTTTACCACACTCTCTCTCCCCTGCAACCCCCACATCTTGCACCACCCACCCTGCCAATATTTTAACAAGTCTACAAATAGGCTGAGGCAGGTTTCTCCAACCTGGTGCCCTCCAGAGGGCTTGAGCTACATTCTGATCATTCCTAGCCTCTGGCCACAGTGGCTGTTGCTGATGGGAGCTGAAATCCAAAACAACCGGAAGGTATCTGTTTGGGGGAAGCTGACCTAGACAGGAATTGCTGTGTGAGCCCCTGAAAAATAATCTTCAGGAAAGCAAGGATTTAGGGACTGACCTGCTCCTCTGCAGATGAAGTGCTTCGGGCCTGCTGAAGAGCTCTGTGTAACTCAGAACTGTGCAAGCTTTTGGAGTTACACAGAACTCTTCAGCAGGGCAAAGTTGCAGTAGCTCTGTATAATAGGAGAGGTCTGCAGGCTGTTGCGCGAACTGATCGTACCAGTCAGTGAGCTTACAGCAGCTTTCTAGTCCAGTGCTGCCCGATTCCCCTGGCACCGCCCAGAGTAGCAGCAGCTTGCGAAAGTCCCAGTCAAAGTCCACTAACTGAAGATACCAGGAATAAACCTTGAATCTACGATGTGTATGTTACACGCGCGTTCTTCTTCTGAGCTAACGGCCCGTCCCAAATTAGCAGTTTCTCGCGATGCCGGCTCAGCAGGTCTGGACGGCCGACTGAGCTGGGCCTTCCTACAAGCTATCGCTGTGGGGATTTGAACTCGCAGCTCCTCCTGGGCTAATCCCAGTCAGGTGGGGAGGTTGTGTCCTTACCCATCCCCAAGGGAATGCCAGAACTCCATCCCAGTAATGCACTCAAACATGGGGTCAACAGTCAAGCAATGATCCCTTTCGCTCGCACCCGACTTCTCATTTCTCCCACTCACCTCTCCTTTGCCGGGCAGGTACACCTGGACACCCCGAGCCCCCTGGGCTGTGACTGGATGGACCAAGAGTGCATCACCTGCAAAGCAAACCGTATAGCAGCATGAGATCTAGAAACTTATGGCGACCACTCATTTCAGAATATGTTCCTGAATGCCAATAGGATCACCGGGGCTCTAGGCATTTTCCTCAAGGGGAAAAGTTATTTCTCACAGTTATTGTGAAATGTTTGCAGAGTTGATATGTATCACTGAGCTGCTGTACTATAGTAGGGAAGCTATGGATCAAAAAGACTATGATTTGCATCTCGGCCACACAGCCAGTTACCCAAAGTCAGCCCCAGTCTCCAGCCATTTCCTCTGCAAAACTGCAATAACACAGATCTAACCTGGAAGAGCAGTCGCAAGGGTATCTACCGACCAAGGTTCCCAGTGGAGGTCAGAAAAAATGGCCACTATTTAATTCCCTTATTATGGTAACACACCACAAACAAAGTAGCTTCAACATGTTGAAGTGTGCTGAAGCTACTTTGTTTGAGGTGTGTTACTGGAATAAGGGTGAAAAGATCAGGCATGAAAATAAGTATTGGCCCTTAGCAGCGCAAAAGAGTCATTGTAGAGTATAAGAAGTGAAATAACAGACGTCTTAGCTGCTCCAGCCCTGAGACTCACCAAGTAGATACTGGTCATCAATGGAGTAAGTTGTAACATCCTGGGGATATTCCACCCAGAGAGGTCTAAGGAGAGGGGAGAAAAAGGAACAGAAATGGGGAGAGTACAGGGCAAAAAGCACTTGCTGAATTCAAATGACCCACCAAACCAGCCTTCTCCAGCCTGCCACCCTCTAGATCTTTTGAGTGGGGGTCACACGCCACCACAAGAAACCCTGCATGCTTTCTCCGGGGTGTGTTTTTTTGCCTGGATGGGCCTGGAAGCGCTTTCCACTTATCCGGGTGAAGAACTGCTTCTTTCCCAGACCTCATCTTCCTGCCAGCCAGTTTCACTGCGTGCCCTTCCCGTTCTGATATTTCGCTGCGGAGCTTCTCTCCGTTCCCCCCTTTGCCTCACCTCATGACCGGCTGGCCGGTTCGGTAGCTGTGGTAGAAGAGAGTGTACCAAAAGGGCAGCAGGGCGTAGCGCTCACGGATGGCGTCCCGGATCAGGGCCTTGTTCTCGTCGCCAAAAAGCCAGGGCTCCCGGCGGGTGGTATCCACATGGGCGTGTGCCCGGAAGAAGGGCTGGTAAGCCCCCACTTGGTACCATCGCACCAGGAGCTCCACCTCTGGGTTTTTAAAGAAGCCGCCCACATCGGCTGCAGAGAGAGGGACAGAAGGTCCTTTTAAGAACAGAAGAGCAGCCCCCTCGAATCCGACCACAGATAGATCGCCTGGCGCCAACTTTATTCTTTCGGCGCCAAGTAAAAACCTTATTTACCCATCATTTGAAGTATGAAGGGATTTTAAGAGGTTTTAATATCAACAGCCACATTTTGTTTGGCTGGGGTTACGAATGTAATTTATGGCTTTGCTATTTATTGTCTTACAATAATTAAAACAATAATTATTAATATAAGCCATCCTGGGATGTTTTTTCGTATAGGACGGGGTAAAAATGTTTTAAATCAATTAACAGATGCAGCGCGGCTCTCCATTTCCAACCAGAATCAGTGTGGTGGAGGACTTCAGGAGTCCGACTGCTGTGGATGAGCAGTCTTCACTCCTGGGGGACCCTGACCCCTTATTTTTCCAGCAGCTCCAGAATCTACGGTGCTGGGAGAAGACTCAGGCGTGGAAAGGTGTCACAAGGTATCTCCGCCCCTTAGCCGGGACCCTTCACAGGGGGCGGCTGCCCCGTATCCTGAGACAGTGGCAAGGCCTTCCCTTGACACAGTGGGCGCTGTCCGCCAGCCCGCCAAGGGCTTGCTGCAGCACGGGGCTGCCAGAGCTGCCCAGGCATCATCCAGAGAGAACGCCTCTGCTGGTACGGAGGCAGGGCTAACTGGTCTCGAGAGCGCCGAGCTCCGACTTGAGGCCCAGCCCCGACCCGCTTCCCGTTGGAGCAACATGCAGACAACCCTGCCTGAGTTCCAACCCCTGGGGTGCCTTGCACCCTCAAAAGCCACAGCCTGGAATGGACCGCGGGCTGGTTCAACTCTCCGCTCGGCCGTGAAGCTTGCTTGCCGGCCGGACTGCAGGTGCCGGCCGGTCATTCCCAGCCCAGCTTCCGTCCCAGGAGCCCCAGGCTACTTACCTCCGCAGAAAGAGAAGCCCACGAGTCCCAGACTCAGGCACATGGGGATAGAGATCTTCAGATGGTCCCACTCCGCCGCGTTGTCCCCTGTCCACACAGCCCCTGCAGAGGAGGAGGAGCAGGACAAGACGCAGCACTGAGCAAACTGGGCCAGGCCAGCCCTAGCCCGCTACTTTCCCGGGGCTGCGCCTCGCTCACTCCTGGCCATCCTCCCGCCATGGCATCAAGACTAGCTTGGAGGAAGGTCCCTGGGCCGCCAGAGTCTTGCTTGGGCCCTGCCAGGCCCTGGATCTCTTCGAGCTTTTAACCGAATGGGGTTTCAGTGAACCTGCTTCATCTTTCTTGGCAGGGATTGATTATAGATGGATGGATGGATTCTTTCATTCATTCCAGGCATGGACAGTTCACAGCTCTCCAGAACTGTGGGCCTGCAACTCCCATCAGCCCCTCACCACTGGCTGTGCCGGCTGAAGCCACCGAGAGTTGTAGGACAAAACACAGGGTCACAGATTGCCTTCTGCCCCATAAATTACTCAATTTCGTGGCTGCCTTTCCCAGGGCAGTCTGCAATACGTTATTTTGTTCTGGGAAATGTCCTGGAACCAGGCAAAGGGCTGCTTTCCTTTCACACTTCCCCTTCCACACGCCGCCTCCACTGACCATAACGCTGCGAGCCAGCAAAGAAGCCCCTGGTCAGCACGAACGGGCGCTCCACACCGCCTGAACGTTGTATCTGCCCCAGCGCGGTCGCCATTTGCTGCCAGAATGGGGAGGAAACAAACATCTGTTACAGGGATGGCTCACATCGTGCTCAGCATTAAATCCTTCCGTGAACGAGGGCGTTAGACCTTCCCACCTGCCACGCTCCCGCTCTAATCCACAACCTGAGCTGGAGCATTCTGCATGGTTAAATTTCTGTGCCACTCCCGCTTGTGAAAGTGCAAGCGCGCTTTTGCACAACTACAGAGAGAAGACGCCAAAAGACGAACGAGCCGCCTCGAAGGCCTTTTTATGGTGTCAGTTTAGAAGAAAGCAGATTTTCTGATCTGCTGGAAGGAAGTATCCACCAGCCACAAGGAACCTACGGCCCCACCTGGCGAGTGCTCACTACCTAAACGCTTTGGAAGGAAAGGCACCTGTGCAGCTTCAGTATAGTCTGAAGCGCCTGATCCTGCCTAATCTGGATGGGTGGCTTTATTTATTCAATTTCTATGCCATCCCACTAGCCATAGGCTCTCTGGGCAGCTTATGTCATGCTCAAATACATATGCTGCGTAAAAACAATACAAATGTTGTGAAACATCCAGAAAGCTTTGGCTATGGGCAGTGCAGAAATGCAATATAGCAGAATAATTTTATTTTATTTATTTTATTTTATTTAGAAAGCTTCTCTGCCGCCCCATTCGCCAAAGCCTCGGGGCGGCTCACAACAATAAATAAATAATAACAATATAAAAACAATATAATTGGAGATGTCCTGACGTCCTTATTATTATTATTATTATATTTATTATATTTATTATATTTATTTTATTATATATTAAGTGGTGGCAATATAATATATATATTAAATATATAAAATTATATATATATAATAAATATATGCTATATTTTTATATTTAATATAATATATGTATATGTATGAAATGCAAAAATAAATATAATATATATAACAATAAATATATTATATATATATACAATTATATAATTATAATCAGTGCTTGTTTTGCCAAAAAAAAAAAAAAAAGCCCCCGCCCCCAACCCCCCGCTCAGCGTGGAACCACACACACACCAATCCCAAGCTGAGCAGCGCCCGCACTATCTCACTATCAGACAGCAGACACACAAGCAGCCCCCCCGCAGGCACCATGTCAATGATGTTTGCTGCCGATCTGCCACACCCAACAGGTGATTCAAAATCCATTGGGAAAAAAGGCGCCGGAACGCCGTTCCGGTGCGTTCTATGACAAAAAAAGCCCCGATTATAACGAATAATAATGCAGTGGCAGTGCTATTCGGCATCGCTGATCCCAGCCAGCCCCCCCAAGACCGCTTTCCTTGGTGCGGAGAAGCCGCGGCCCCCTCACCACGTAGAAGGCGTAGAGGTTGTGGACGTCCCGGTGCTCCCAGCCGCCCTGGTGCACGGCGTCCTTGTGCATCGTCACCTCGGGCCCGTTGAAGACGGAGGGTTCGTTCATGTCGTTCCAGGTGTACAGGTTCTCCATCGAGCCCTGCCGCCAAGGGAGGAGGCAAGCGCGTTAGCAGGAGGGGCGACCGAGGCCTGCGTCCCGAGCCAGGACCGCGGCGACCGGCCGTCTCCCTACCTCGTAGCGGTCATAGCTGAACATGTTGGACCACCAGGCCCGCATCTCGGGGTTGGTGAAGTCGGGGTAGCCTGCAGAGCCTGGAGGAGAGGAGAGGAGGGGAAAAGGGCTTGCTTCTTTCCCTTCTTTGCTTTGACTGCATTTCTAATCCTAATTTCTAACATTCTCTGGGCAGATGACAAGCCTTTTTCAAAACCACCCTTTTTTAAAAAACACTGTTTCAGAGGATGAACTGTGATTGAATGCAAAACAACCAGCAGCCCAGAAATGGACAAAATAGCCAGGATAAGCTACAGCGAGCGCTCTAAAAACGCTTGGGAGGAAGAGAGCTCGCTGCCCGAGCTTGGAAAGATGGCAATGCTGGTGCTGCTGAGTGAACCTCTCTGGGGAGTTTACTCCATAGGGGCCACCTCTGAAAAGGCCCCGTTCTCTTGCAGCCAAGTCAGTCCTCTGAAGACAGGCTGATGGGCCAAAGCAGGTGAACGTGGGAGAAATACTATTAGATATTCTGTTTGGGATTCTTTCGGCTCGCTTTGCTAAACCTCTGATCACAGGCCCCTCTTCTGCCGCTGCAAAGGGCTGCTTTGCTCCGCCACTTCTCGAGGCCCTTTCCTTCCTCACCTGGCCAACACCAGCCCTCATAGTCCGCGCCGTCCTTGGTCTTGACGTAAAAGCCCTGGGAACGAATCTCGTTATGGACACGGTAGCCGCTGTCCACTTTGATGTGCGGATCCACGATGCTCACCATCTGGGTTAGGAAGGGACCAGAGTCAGGGAACAAAGAGGAAGCCCTGAGCCACGACTCTCCACCTCAAAGAAGACCAAATATATGCGAGTTCTCTTACGCTGCAGGTATTCTGGTTTCAATATGTGAGCAATTTCCTTGGAAAGGGCACTGAAGCTGCACCGGCAGCTGCCAGGAATCGAATATTCAGGCCTCGCTCTCTGGCACCTGAAATTCCACCCAGAATGCCTCCTGGGATTCTGGGGCCACAAGGGACTAGAAACTTGTTTCCAGTTCTCCCTTAAGCAGCACGGTTCTGACTGTGCCTAAACACAGGAAATGGTGCTTGGAGGCTCAGCAAGTGAAGCCTTCTGTACAAAATAATTAAAAAAGGGCCCTACCGGAGCTGCCTCCCTGAGAAACTACTCTTCTCTGTGCAAGGACTTGGGGCTGGGGCTTTTTGTTGGGGGGGATGTGGGATATGGAGCAGTGTCCTGTCACCTGACCTCTGGAGGGGTAAATTTCAAGTCCAGGTTGACCAACAGAGCGAGAAGCAGGGGCATAAAAAAGGCCGTAGCCCATCTCGCCTAAGATCGCCTCCTCTGACCAGATTCTCAGGCCAAGAGGGGCTTTTCCCATCGTCTGCACGTCACATAAGTACGGGATGAGGAGAACCTCCGGGGTCCCCAGGTGGACGCGGGGCGAGGGCTGCCTTCCCAAGCAGCTCCCGCTCACCTTGCGCCTCTTGGCCGCCAGCTGCTGCAGCATCTCCCGGGGGTGCTGGAACTTGTTGGGGTCCCAGGTGAAGTAGCGCTTGCCGTCCGTGTGCTCGATGTCCAGCCAGATGACGTCGTAGGGGATGTCGTGCTCGTCGAAGCCGCTGTCCACGGCCCCCACGTCCTCCTCGTCGTTGTAGTTCCAGCGGCTCTGGTGGTAGGCCAGGGCGAAGAGCGGAGGCAGCGCCTGGGTGCCTGAGGGAAAGGACAGCTCAGCTGGACACCCGCCCCGGGCCCAAGCCGAACACGGGGAGCAGGCTAAGCCCATCAGCAATCCAAGGTCCCAGCAAGCCACGGTTTAGGCAAGCTTTTGATGCTTCATTTCCCCAGCTGCTCCTTTCCTTTCCCCGTCCCGCTAATGCAGGACCCCAGAAGCAGAGGGTGACTTCACTTCATCAACTCACGCATTGCTCCAACTGTCCCATTCCCCAGACCAGGCTCAGCAACCCTGCCTCAAGCCATCGTTTCCCATTCTGCTCCGCCAGCCGGGCCTAACTCAAGCGGCTGCCCCACCGACCCAGAGTCAAGCTTCCCGAAGGCTGGTTTGGTGCCAGGCTTGCACTGGATCAGAACAGAATCTCCTTCAGGTCGATTCAAGCCAAGACTCCGGACTCTGGGATGCTGGACTCCGGGCCCTGTGGCCCATTGCGTGCTTGCACGCACAAAGCTCAGCACCACAGGGTTCCTACCACGAAGCAGACAACAGCGACACCAGCCGCTGTCTTGTTCAGGTGTGACCTCAAGGGTGCCCGGCTCACCTGTGAGGGAGGCGTACTGCCTAAAGATGTCGTGGGGCGTCGGCCCCAGCAAGAGGAAGGCATCGATGATCCCGCTCTCGGAGATCCAGCGAACGTCTGTCTGTGGGGTCTCGCCTCCGCCTTGCATATAATCCAGCATTTTTCCAAACAGGGTCTGCGAGAGCGTTTGGGAGGGACTCAGGGCAAAGCCAGCCTGGATGGAAGGCCAAACTTACATTCTGTACCTGCGCACTAACAGGTACAGAACGGCCCCACGCGGGTGCGGAACCCCTGCCTCCGCGAAGGCTTGAGGTGGGAAAGGGTTACCTTGCCGGCCGTGTTGGAGGTGATGTCCACCCAGGTCTCCGCAGCGTTGAGCCAGAAGATCCCCAGGGTGCGCTGGGCATTGTGGGCCAGCAGGACCGGGACGGAGCCGTAGAGCGCCATGGGGTTGTACAATTCGTACTGGAAGACATCCAGGTTGTAGAGGCGGTACGGGTCCCCTCCCCTGCCAGGGATGCGGCCGTCAGGACGGGCAGAGAAAAAGGTGCGAAGAACCCGAAGTAGGGCTGGACAACCCCGCACACGTGGCCCAAGAAACTGCGGGCCACCCACCCCAGCTCTGCCCACTTCCCGAACCCGGATGTGTGAGATTCGGCGGGCAGGCGCACCAGGCCCCGGGCTTACTCAGTGGTTCGCAGCCGGAGGTTATCCGCATGTTCTGGGATCCCGTATACATGCTCCACGCCGGGCAGTGAGAAGTCTAGCCCCACAGATGTTGGGCCTGCGAACAGGGGAAGACGGGAAAGGCATCAGGAAGGAGGCAAGCTTTCTCTTGCGGATCTGAGCCGACGCTCTTTGGCGAGCCATGGAAGCCAGTCAGTGAACTGGCACGACTGTGTGGTGCTTGAGCGAGGGCGTGATGTTACACACCCCACCCCATGAGGTTCACCGTCTGATTCCCAGGGAGGGGGAACCTGGGAAACCGTGGCTTTCTTGTACCTCTAGAATAGTGATTCTGAGTCGAAACTGTTAGTGCAAACCATGGTTTGGTGTTGCCAACCGATGGCCTCCCGCAAAGCCTTGTCCTTAAGACACTGCCTACAATTCCTCTCCCCCTTATAGCTATACTTTCCATCCTGCAAGGACAGTGCTCAGTTAAAAATGGGAGCCACACATCGGATCTTCTAATAGTGATGGGGTTTCAGCTGTGGGTTCCAGCATCTTATGGAAAGTATCCTGCAATCCTGGTTCCATATGGATGAAGAAGAAAACCATACGGATGGCCTTTAAGAGATGGCCTTTAACCAGTGAGCACTAAATTCTCGCACTCAAACAAATCACTGCCCTCTTTTCAAGAGCTGTAGGATGCGATTCCCAGTATTTGAGCCCAAGTCGCTCCACCAGATGTGGGGCTGTTACCATTCGGCTTGCTGTCCGTTTGAGTCTTGAACGTCTCTTCCCAAGCTCCTGGCTCCTCCTCCGCTTCGCTTGCCGGTTTGGAAGCTTCCTCAGGCTGTGGGACCAAAAGAAAAGCCGGAAAGATGCCTCTGGTGTGGCCAAGCACAGGATCTGGATCCACGTTCTAACCCGGCTTAGTTATATGCGTGTCTGCGTGGCACAGGAGCCTTCCTCTGAATCAGGGATTCAGCTCGGCTGCTTTACCGCACTGACACGAGGTTTGCCCTACATGAGTGCCTGTTAAAGCCCTGGGCCTTTTAGCCCTAGTGAATGGACTTGGCAGTTTGTCCATCTAGGCCAGAACTGCCAACTCTGACTGGCAGCAGCCCAAAAGGGGCCTTTCCTGATCATGGAGACACCCAGGACCGAACGTGGCACCTCCTCAGTCCACATACCTCACCACTGAACCTTAGCCAAGCTGATACTTCCTCCATTTTAGCCCCAGGCCTGAAATATCAGACAATCCTGCTCTACCTTGCAGGGATGTTGTAAGAACATCCTAACAAGATAATGAACGCAAAGCGCCCTGAACCCTTGGAATACATAAGCTGCACAGCAAGGGCAGCCTTCATATCCCAGCATTCCTGAACGCTGGCCATGCTCGCAGGGGCTTCTGGGAGCTGGAAGCCCCAAACATCTGGAGATCTACCTTCGGACCACCTCCACTGTACAAAGCCCAAGAATTGGTCTGTTGTCAGGGTATACCTAGGTATCTAGAGAAGCAGCAGAGCCGGAGTTCTGCTTGGACCCTGTTCTGCTGTCTTATTCCAGAGGCTGGGAATTTTGTGCCAGAAAGAGTGGTCAACCCACAACAAAAGTCCATCCCAGGCTGGGCCAAACCAGAGAGTGGAGCCGGAGCCGAAGGGGGGCAGCTTCCGGGCTTGTCAGACTGCATCTGCCGCCCAGTCTCTCTGCATTTGCCTCCCTATGCCCCATCTCTATGGGGCACATGAATTGAGGGCTGTGGGTTTCCCAGCAGCCCCCCCACCCCCACCCCTGGCTACCTGGCTCACCTGCTCGCTCTTCTCTGCGAGTTCCTGGTCCACAGTCAAAGAAGCGTCCGATGACTCAGCAGCTCCCTCCCCTTCCGACGCCGCTTCCTTGGGGGGCTCCCTGGGAGAGCAGAGGGGGAGGAAAGAAACGCTCAGCCCCACCTCCCCCCGTGGCCTCTCCCAAGCAAAACGAAGGAAGGGCACCGAGTTACCCTCACAGACATACCCTCCCCGGCGCCCCGAAACTGCGGACCACCATTAGTCACAAGAAGCAGAGCACACCTGTGTACAGCCCGGTTAGCGGGGGCGGGGGGGGGGGGAAGCAGGAGGTGGCTGGTGGGCAAAGGACAGTGCAGGGCCAGGTCCCGGGGCCCACGTTCTCAAGGCTTTGGGGTCCCGGGAAGGGTCCCTCGGCACCGAAACCCCCTTCCTCTCTACCAGGGCAGTTCACTCCAGCCCCAGAGGGCCCCTTTCGCCTTGCAGTCAAGCAGAAACCGGGCAGGAGTCGCTCCTGTGAGCAGAAGGACGTCCTGCACACCTGACAGTCCATCCCTCATGTTCAGCAGGCAGCTCGGAGTTTCCTCTAAAACTCCAAACGGTTGTCAAAATTCCTCCACCCCACATGCCTCATATCCTACCCTCAGGATGCCCGCCGACAAATTCGGAAGAATTCCCGGCAGCCCTTTCCGGGTGCAACTAGCAATGTAAGTTCCTGTCTGGGCACCATCACAAAATGGTCACAGCGCAAGGAGCGGCCAAGAGCAAACCCAAATTCCAGGCAGGGTGGGATGCAATGCACGAAACGACTCCCTTGAACCCTGATTTCAGCACCAGGAGAACAACGATCTCAGTTGTTATATTAAGAAAGTGTATAAATGAAGGAGTGGGGTGCCTTGGGGGGCAGCAAGAAGGGTGCCCCCCCACTCCGGGGTACCATGTTGCCCATCTCTGGGATGTGCCTTCTTGCACAAACACATACCCAGCTGGGGATCATGGATAGCCTGAGTGCTGAATCTCGCTAAACCCAAGGGCTAGATTCTGCTTTGGAAAAGCTCTTGCAGGCCAAGTTCCTTGGAGGGGGGAAGCTCAAGGCACAAGAAGAAGGGTCCAAATACCAGAAATGCCAGCGTATCTTATTTACTTAGTGTATTTTATATGATTATATTGCATTTATATCCCCTTTAATTTATTCTTTCTATTGCATCGATATCCCTTGCCTTTTTTCAGCGAAAAACCCAAGGTGGCTTCCAAAACCCTGTTCTCTGTCTTATCCTCACAACAAGCCTGGGAGGTGGGTCAGTGAGCTTTGTGGATGATGGGGATTAGAACTCAGAGCTCTCAAGTGCCACCTCAAAACCATCTTCGGCTGAAGGTGGACATCCTGTGCCCATAACTCAACTTTAGGAGTGACACCTTTGCTATATACTTCCTTCATCCCACTTTTCTTCCATCGTGGATCTCAAGGAGGGGACCTGAAACTCCCAAGGGGTCCCCACTCCAAGGATGGACCCAGCCTGGGCTTGCTTAGCTTCAAGTCAAGCCAAGCAGCTTTCCCAGGGGCCTCCAGGCCACACAAGCTGGGAAGCCTGCAGACAGTGGAGGGAAGGGTGAAGGTCAGGGAAGGCCTGCTTGGCTGGAGAGGCAGACGGCAACCCCGCATGGGCCTGGCTTGGCCAGCAAGCCGGGGGCTCAGCACCCCTTACGTACATAGCCTGCCGAGCGCCAGAGGGATTGGGTCAAAGTCCTTCCTGCACGGCCAGCAAGCACTGATCCTACGGCCATTCACTCCTGCAAGAACCAGTCGGGTGGGCATTTCTGTGTGGGAGGGGAGAAGCCCGCGATGGGCATCTGGACCAGGCCTGGAGGGTCTCCTTCCCCCGCCCCCCGGGCTGGAGTGGGCTACTGCTTTGCCGGCACAAAGCCCCAGCTTCGATCCCAGCCTCTCCAGGGAAGGCCAGGAAAAGAATGCTGCCTGCAGCCCCCAAGAGCAACTGCCAGGCAGTGCTGGCCACACTGGGCTGCTTCCTAGATTCCCGTTTCAACCAGTGCTGCATTCAGAACCATGTGGACTAGAATCTTACTTTATTTTTAGCAGAAATGCTGCAATGGACCAGCAGAGCACCTGCTTCACATGGAGAATGTCCCAGGACATTCCTTGGCTTCTACAGGCGGGGCTGGAAAATCCCTGGACAGCAGCTGCTGCCAATCAGGGCCAACAGCACTGGTCTAGATGGCCCAGAGGTCTGACTCCATACAAGCCCACTTTCCTTGCTCCCGTAATTTAAGTGCTCACGAGTTCACCAGAAGAAAACCTGTGCACCAGCAAGCAACCCACCAGCACGTCCTTCCTGCAAGTGATATGAACGCATCTCTTCCTCTCTGATACTTAAGCTGCTTCTACCAGGAGGCCCTTCCAAAACCCAAGTCAGCACTGGGCGACACCAAACGGTGCAGCTGAGAGTCCCACAATTTTGCAGCTCGGAATACAGAGCCAGAAGCCAAATGGGCCACCGCCTTTCGTCTGCTGCATTTGCGAGAGAGGAAACAGGTCAGAAATGCCGTGACCTGCAATTTATGGGCACGAGGTTTTCCCGCACGGGGTGTGGCAGCAAGCTGAGAGATGCCGCTGAGCAAACCCTGAAGTAGCCGCGACCAAACTACCCCTCTGGCAAGCCTTTTAAACTATACAATGCACTTGGGAAGGACTTCCACAGCACCTTGAGGACTAGGGGCTTGGCAAGCATGGTCCTGAGTTCAGTGGGGGCTAATCCCAGGTGAACAAGGACAGCCTTATGGTAGCCAAAGAGCTGGGGGACTAGGGATTTCTCTACCAATTTAATTGGTAGGGTGCCCACTCCTTCTGTCTGTGTCTCAGCCACCTTCTTTTCCCGCTCTCCTTCTGGACCCTTCTCCTCTCCCCTTTCCCCACTTCGCCACCTTCTTCGACCTCTCTACCTGCCCGCCATTCTCTCTCTCCGCTACCCTCTTTCCCACAGGTTGCCCATCTCTGCTTCAGACAGACACACGCTGTCTCACCCACACATTACATTTCAAACTTACGGTGTAAAACGACAAGCCTTAGACATTCCCTGAAAAACGTGCGACTCAGCCTGGAGCGTAGAGGAACTACTTTGCTACACAGAGGTCGACCATGCATACGAGAACACGCAGAGCCACAATCCAGCCAGGTTTCCTTCATCTCCTTGCGAACAGAACTTTCTCGCTTGCCTTGACCACCCTCCTCAAACGCTCCTCTTCCCACGAGGTCTTTGGCCTGCCCTCCCCACCCTCCATCGTGATCAAAACCCCTCCGATCGCTCCCTGCGGCCTCCATTAATGTCGCGAGTGTCTCGGGAGCAGGGACCTTGGATAGGCTGGAGGGGCCAAGCCAGGCGGTGTGTGTAACAGGGCGGCCGGCCCAGAGGTCCGTGGAGGCCGCTGCACTGCAATTCCCATCATCCCTAAGCCCTGGCCAGGGGCTTACCACCCTGGTGGGAGGATCTGAGAGTGAGAAGCCCCTGCAGACAGCGGGAGAACCCCAGTGCTAGCAATTCAGCCTTTCCGCTGGAGTATAATAGGCGGGACCCTGGCTGGATTGCATTAGATCCTCCGACTGGAATGGCTCCAGTACCAGGATGTAACCAGTGCCGCTTTCCCAAAGGACACAAGGACAGACGGGAAGATAACCCGCGGACCCAACAAGTCCAAGCTCAGGTTCGGGGCAGGGGGGCGGGCAGCTAGAACCCTCAAGCTCCCAAGCCAAGGTGTGGGAGGGGAACCCCTCTCGGGCGCCCCAGTTCCAGGGGTGGGCAAGGGAGGGCCAAGTGCCACTGTCTATGAGGCGGGGGAAAGGGAGGTGAGAAACAGTAGCAGAAGCTGCAGATTTACCTAGAGAAAAGGTTGTTGATCCTATCCCAAATGCTAACGACCGTGCTACTAACTTTTTCCAAGAAACTGGGGGGGGCCGAGCGGGAGGGGGAGGCACAAACCAACAAAAACAGAAAACACAACGAGAGTCAGTGCATCGAAGCCCAGAGATTGCCCTCCCCCCCAGCACCCGCCTCACCCCTGGCCCCACACGCTACAAGAGGAGGGAAAGATGGGGAGACTCTCCAACCGCCCCTGCTGCTCCGCCTACCCCAGCCAGCTTCGAAGCGGCCCCTCTGGAGCTGCGGGGCTGCAATGCCCATCCTGGCTGGGGAAGATGGGAGCTGGCATCCGACACGTCGGGAAAGTGCCAGGTTGGAAGAGGCTGCCCCGAACGGTTGTCCACCCTCTTCTCCACTGCCCACACTCCCCTGGACAGCCTGGTGCCTTGCAGAGGCTTTGGACTTCAGCTCCCATCAGCTCCAGCCCTCACAGCCAAGGGTCAGAGACCTAAGAGTTCTGGCCCAGGCCATCTAGAGGATCCCAAGTCTGGAAAGGCCGCCTGGGGAAGTGTCATCGGAAGTTGCGTGCCCCGAGCAGAAGCGAAGAAAGAGCAGCCTTCCTCCCTCCAAGGGTGGGTGGGAATGAACGACAAGGCCCCCTGCCAGTGGGAGGCGTGTCCTAGGAGCACCACAAAGCCATGCCCCCTTCCGGGGCTCGTCCAATGAGAGCAGAGGGTTGCCAGGGCCAGCGGCTTTTGGCCCTGCCCCCTTTCCAGGCAGTGGCCATGGAAAGCAGGGGTGCAGAACCTCAGCTCCGGGGGCCAAACCCACCCCCATCCCCCAAACCCCCGACTGGCTGGTGGGTTTCTGCCCGGGATGCAGCTTCCCCCTTGCAGGAATGCCTCCCCGGGGGCAGTTTGCCGGCAGGCCCCGCCCCTTGGCCTGTGGCTCCCCCCACCAGGGCGGCCCCACGAGATTCTCTGGGGGGGGAATTCGGCCTCGGGCTCGGAGGCCGTTCTGCACCCCTGCCACAGGGCAGCCCTGCCGTTCCGCCCATAGATGAGCCTCTGGGCTGGAGGAAAGGGGGGCTCTGGCTACAAAAAGAAGGCAGCCATGCCCTTCCCAAAATGCGCAGAAGATGCACAGTGGCTTCCCCTCAGGCAAGCGGGAGGCAGACTCACAGAAGGAGCAGCGGCGAGGGCCGCTCTCCACCCCTGCCAGCCAGCCAGTCTCCCAAGACGGCCAAAAGTTGTCCCGGCAGACCCACATGGAAGGAGCCCCCTCGCTCCCAGGTCCCCAGCTCATCAAGGGAAAGGGCCCCCCGCCCCCAGACCCATTTCCTCCTGCTTTTCCCCAAGGAAGACAGCCACCAGCGAGAACCAGGGAGAGGCCCCCGATTCCCCCACCGCCCCAGCCCAGGCGCCCCAAGTACTCACGCGTCCTTCCTCTGGCGCAGATGCTCGAAGACGAGCAGCCCCCGGGAGTTGACGCTCAGCACCAGCTCCCGCCCTTCCAGCAGGTCCATGCGGAACGGCTTGGCCGTCAGGATGAGCTTGTGGCCGCCGTCGCCCAGGGACAGCTCCACACTGTTCTCGTCCCGGCCTGTCACTGACAATCTTAGGGGCGGGGAGGGGAAGAAGACACGGCGTGGCCGGGATAAGTCAACAGGCTCCGGGAGGCATGAAGGGTTGGGGGGGGGAAGGAGAAGAGTAAATTGCCACTCCTTTCATGCCGGACCCGGCTAGGGCTAAAGCGGGGCAGAGTTCGGTGAAATTGGGAAGGGCCACACGTTCCCCAAGAGAAAACATTCGGTTTTCGTTTGGGTGGGGAAGAGCGCGCGCAGAGAAGACATGCAGGAGGGCTCCAAAAGTCACCTTAGAACCTGGAGTTGGCCAACAAAACGGAAAGAGATTCGAGCCCAACCGATGTCGGATCAGGCCTCGGGTGGCATGAAGCTGATTTGTGGCACTTGCACCCACAAAATGTAGGGCTGAGAATGATTTTTTTTTTTTTTTTTTTGCTTGTGGGGGGATTTGACAAGTTTCTGGAGGAGGAGGAATACGACATGTTAGGCCATGTGTTGGATGTAGAGTGAAGGACTTCCACTTTCAGTCCTGAATCTCTGACCTGCTGCTGTGGTGGATGACCCTGGATTCCAGTTATGAGAATCAGAGAGACTTCAAAAAGTTGGCTTGCCCTGCAGCCAGGATGTTGAACCACCGTAAAGGTTCTATTTGAGACAGCTCTGGGGGCATAGGATTGTGGATATGTAATAAGATCAATTATGGCTTATATAATACCCATGTTAAAGATTTTTTTTGGTAATAACCAAGTATAATTAAGTCAAAATTGTAGCTATACAATTGATAGAAGTAACAATAATTATTGACTTTGTGTGATTTCCTGCACTTAGCATGAGATGCAACTTTGGTGTAATGTCTCTTGGTATCTTTTTCTTACATTTGCACATTCCTTCCCCTTTGTTTTTGTTTCCTTTTATCTATAAAAATAAACATGATGATGATGATAAAAAAAGAGATCGCTCTTGGGGACCACATTCCAGTGGCAGGCGGCTCCAAATTCCCAAAACAACCAGCACATTTTAGCCTGAAGCTCTTGCTGGAGAGAACGGTTTATTCTGTGTTGGGTGCTGTGCTTTTAAAAAGTTTCTTTCTACCAACTACCCCCACATTTGCTATATGATTTTCAAGGAACAAATGAAATGAAATGAAATGAATTACAAATGAAATGGTAATTGCTCGGGAGTCACTTTTCTTGATCTGCTTACAGTCCTGGAGCCCCAGAAGCGTGGGACTCTTCGGCTCTGCTCTGTGGGGTGCCACCTCCTCTCTTACCCCCCCCCAGCGGAGGAGAGCCCCACAAAACAGCTTCGCCTTCAACCTCCAGCTCTGCCCTGCCACTGCCCGTTCAAAGACTGCCTGCCATGAATAACAGTGGGAAAACTTAAGTACAAAGGGAACAGAGTTTGAGAGAATAGTTCAAGATTATAAGAACTGTCAATGAATTTTAACAAAGTTTTTAAAAATGTGATTGAGTAAAAAGGATAGTCATTGTTGATTTACAGCTTTTTAATAGACTTGTTGTTTTTTGTCATTATTTGCCTAAGAACCCTTGGTGTCATTGTTTCTTTGTGTTGTTCTTTTTTCTTCCTCTTTTTAAAATTTTACTATTAAGATAATAATAAAATTAAAAGATGGGCAAAGACTGCTGCCTTGTTCAGAGGAGGCCATTCACATACCTGGTGGTGGGGGGGTCCTGGACTAACACATCGGGTACCTCATAGCGGGGCTTGAGCGGATTCAGCTCATTGATCCGGATGCGGGTCATGTTCCCTTTCAACCCGTAGATCTCGAGGAGAAGCGGGATCTGGAAGCAGGGAAGAAGGTCAAATCTACTTTGGCACCAGGGGCGTTGAACTTCTTTCAGTCCAAATTCCCTGCCTGGACAGCATATTCATCGACAAAGGCCATTCCCCAAGGAAGGCTTGGAAGACGGCAACAAGGGACGGGGCCTTTTTGGTGATGGCCCTCAGTTACGGAATGATCTCCCGACACAGACCAACACTGTTATCTTTTCAGTGCCAGAATACGTTCAAAGATAGGCTGGACATGCACATGGTGGGCATGTCATGAGCAGAGCCGGCTGGAACCAGGGTCAGACTAGATGGCCCGGGAGACCCCTTCTGGCTCGCTCTGTTTCTATGTTTCTCCTCCTCCCAGGCATCGGGTGGCACTGGAGGAGGTTGTAATCAGGTTCTGAACTTTAGTTGTTGCAGATCATTTGAAATTACGTGCCTGGGAGCTGCATGTTTATAAGGCTTTGCTACTGTCGTGGGGGCAGCCCAATATGTGAACATTCCACACATTCTAGAGCAATAAAACTAAAGTCCTTTAATGCTAATTGTCTACAAGATTTACAGTTCTATAGATAAGTTCCCTAATAGCGGTCCTTGCTAAGCAGATGTCAGCCCTATAATGGCTCCTCTTCCTGAGCCCACGTGGGATCATTCTCCCAAGTCACGCCTGTCCTTCCTCTTATGCTGTTCACTTTGCAGCTGTTCAAATCAGCATAAAATACGCCTGTTCTGGGCTCTTGAAAAATCCACGACACCTATTGTGCCTTCTGTTTCTGGCTCAGGGAGGTCAGCGTCAAGGGGGGAAGAAGCAGTTTGCTCTGCCTCCTTCTGAGCAGAACTTGCAGCTCCCTCTTTCTCATGACCTCTGTCTCTGATAACGGTCCGGGCGTTTGCTCAACGGGCTGGGGCTCAGAGGAAGACGCAGCAGCTGGCTCAGCCGTCCCTGCACTGGGCTGTGAGGTCGACTCTTGGGCACTGGGTGCCAAGTGCAAGGTCTCCTCGTGAGTCACTGTTTCTGTCGGAGCTTCGTGCACGACAGCTACTGGCTTTAGAGCTTTCAGTCCCACTTCACTCCTGGGTTGACAGGCAGTGGCACTCCAGGCTCTCAGACACCGTATTTCACCATTTGCCATCTGGACGCAACCAGGATTCAACCCTGAGACCTTCAACATACAATCTGTGATTCACTCCCACTAAACTGTACTTCCCGTCCCCTGCGAAGACACATACTAAAAACAGCCAGGATCTGAAAAAGTAACTCTTTGCAAGTTTTGCTATAGAGCATCAAAAGAGTCATTAGTTGAAGCTGGGATGGGAAACACGGTGACCTCCAGATGTGGTTGGACTACAACTCCCATCGGCCCTGACCACTGGCCAGAGGGTCCCCACCCCTGTATTTAAGGCTGCCTTGGCCATAATCCAGAAATCCATTGAGGATGAATCCTTGCAAACAGCAGCAGGCAGAAAAAAGCTGATCCTGGAGTTAACCACTTCAGGCTCCCAAGAAGCGATTGCATATTTCAGCATTTGTCCACATGAAAATGTGAACATTCCCCACATGTAGAAAATTAGGCACCGCAGGGAAGCATTCTAATTTGGCCTTCCTCTGACATGCTAGCTTTCTAACTGCAGGGGGGAACTATTAACGCATCTTGTGATTCTGACTTGCAGCTTAAAGTAGAACAGACTTGCTTTGATGTCTTGCCCACACATGCCCTGGGCTTAAAACTTCCTTGAACTGCTCAGTACTACTTGCGCTTTCTTCCCAAAGAGCCCAGGGTGAGCGGAATGTAAACAGATAACATCTTTTCTCTTTGCACCACAAGATGGGCAGGATGCAGACAAAAGGAATTTCTGAGCGGCACCTTGTTTGCTTCATTGATGAGCTGGATTTTCATCGAATCCTGGCTGAGTTGCAGCGAGTCCAGCAGCGCCCGGTACGGGGAGTTCCCAGGCTTCACACTCCTCTGCCGCCTGGGGAGAAGAAAACATGGTTGCAGAAGGCAAATCTTCGGTGGTACCTCTCCCCTCTCTGAAGAGCACTAATTTATTTGCCTCCATACTTTTTAATCCCGAGCGAGAAATACCAGGTGCGGCACACAGCCAGGAACAATTACTCTGTCCCCAAATCAATTCCGTAGGGAAGGGAAGTCCTACCAGACAGATAAGCTATCAGGCCTCCTGCCTCAACACCCTCCTGGCCTGGAGACTTACTTGCAAAAGGAGCTCTGGTCACAAGTCTTGAAGTTGCTTCTGTCCACGGCGGAGACAGCTGCCAAGAAGAGAGCAAGCCAAGCAAGAGCTGCCATCCGGACCCTAGCAGGAAGAAGGATGCTGTGTTACACGGCGGGTTCTGAGCTGCGCACGACAAGCCACAGGAAGTACTGCTGGAACTCGAATTTTCTTCTTTCCAGAAGGGCCAGAGCGAGGTCACCCGTAATCTGGAACCCAGAATCTAAAAGGTCAGCTGGGAAACAGCTCTCCCCGAAACCTTGGAGAACAGCTGCTAGTGAATGGAGATCAGTCTTCCCCAGCAGGCTGCCCTCCAGGTATACTGGACTGCAACTCCCATCGCCCTCAGCCATTCAGGTTTGGCAGGCATGCTGGCTGAGGATGCTGGGAGCTGCAGTCCAACACTTCTGGAGGGCCCTTGCTCAGGGAAGGCTGCAGCAGACGCTACTGAACCAGCCAAACCAATGGCCTGACTTGATACAAGCCAGAATCTATGACCCTGTGGCATGACTGACCAAAGCTTCCCCATTTCTCTTCTGCCTACCAGCACTTGGACAATGGGAGAAGTTGCTATTTGAAGGAATCTCCCCTTTCAGCTGTGTCAGAAACTCCCAAAACGGCTGCTCGTGGTCTCAGCACCCTCCGTCCTCGTAGTGAAATATAGTACCTGGGGTTCTTCTATCTCTACCTGGCAAATGATTTCAAAACATCACAGCTTTGACATGTACATTCACCGGTGGTTCCTCCCCATCATGAGTAACCTAGAAAAGGATGCAACTCCCATTCAGAGAAAACGGGCTTAGATTTCCAGGTCTTACTTTATACCTTCTCTGTTGTCCTGTGCCAAATTTCAATCTTTTCTACCTGGATTAGATGTTCTACCTTGGTCAGTTTTGGAATCTTCCTGTCTGGATTCTTTCCTCTCACAGTTACGGCTATTAGAGAAGTGTGGCAAATCACGTAACATTAATGACATTTGAACCATCTTCTTAGAGCTAAATTGACTCTATGGCAGAATCCATACTTTAAAATGTGCAAGAAAATGTTTTTGTGGCAGACTCAGACAAGCGCGTGGGGTTTTTGTCTTGGATCCGTTAGCGGGCACTGGTGAATTTTTGTCATTCCCTGCTTTGTGTGCCAAATATGATTTGCCCGATACAGCCGAATGCCAATCCTTCCAATTGTAATGTTTGTCAGACTCTAGAAAATATTTATTATTGGTGAATACGATACACGGGGTCTTAGGCACGAATGGAACGGAGAACTGGACTGTTCTGTTTTGCCCAATCAGTGGAATGCCGTTTTATCATCTGCATCTGAAAAAGATAGCGATGGATTTCAAGAAACATCTTATTCAGCAAAACTGCCTTCCGTCCATATTTCAGAAAAGTGAGGAGCGAAACAGAGAGGGCGTGTGTGTCTCTTTCTAGCTCATGAGCCAATGGCTTCACAAGACTGGAAGCAAGAACTCGCTGCCTGGGCCCTTCTAGCCGCTATAATTATACGCTGCCCCATCTCCAACTAGCCAACCCAGGAAACCTCAGCCCCTCACAGAAGAGGCTGCGCTGCTTATCTGCCATTCTGAAAAGGCACATGACACTACGTGCATCTGTCAAGGGAACTTCAGAAAGGACAAGGCCTGCCTGCATCACGGAGAGATGGTCTCTTTTCAGAACACCTTTCCCCAGCAGTGAAGCGGCAGTGAGGAATCTGAAAAAGCTGCAGCGTACCCAGTCCGTTCACTGGCCCGTCTCCCTCCGTGTTGTTTGCAATGGCCTTTGCCACCCTGGAGCCACAGATGTGTCTGTGTTTTCCTTTCATTTATTACATTTCAGTATCACCCAAGAGCTGGAGTTTGCCGAGCGGGTTACAAAGATTCAAACCTTAAAAATGCAAAATAAACAACCCACATGCATAGAACATAAGAACAGACCACACATGAACAAAGACACACCTTTATCTAAAACACGACTACCGTTGGACTACAACTCCCACTGTCCACAGCCAGCTTGCCCAATGGCTATCACGGGCTTCCTAACCTGGTCCCCTCCTGAGATGCAGGATGACAACTCCCACTGCCCCTAACCTGCTGGACACACTGACTCGGGACAATGGGAGTTGTAGTCAGATCTGGAGGGTGCCAGGTTGGGGAAGATGGATCCTTTCTGACAGGCAGTTGCTTTCCACAGTGTTTGGAGAGTGCTGTTTCCCAGTCCTCCCTACAGATCCTGGGCCGTGAACTGGATGGAAAGCAGGTGGCCCAGCACTGATCTATGACCCTTCCCATAAAGAGAAGAAAGCAAGGTTCTAGTCCTCATGGTTTTGTTCTGCATAAGAAGGCAGGAAGCTGCCTTATACCAAAGCAGAACATCAATCCAATCTACAATGCCTGGCAAAAGCTGTCCAAGGTTTGGACAGGGCCCACCCCAGGCAAGGGCCCACCTGGAGAAGTCTGACCCTTGGCCCATCAGGGGGTTTGCAGCTAACCAACAGCCCCTCTCTCACAAATGGCCACAGATCAACAACAGCTCTTCAGCTCCCAGTTCTCTGGACCTCATCAAAAAGGCTTCCATTCCCCCTGTATCAGATGGCTAGAATCCCTTCTACCTAGAAATGGCTCGCAGCCTTTGTTATCATGTTGTGCCTCATGGGGTGCAGAAGGACTAACCCCGATCCAGAGTCTTTTGCCCCAGGTTCTGAATGGTGAGCCTGGGAGATTCCGGGAGGGGGGAGCTATAAAGTCAGGCCCCTGTAGGAATACACTGAGGGATCAAAGGGAGGACATCTCTTTCACAGCTGGTGCAAAGGTCAGTTCCAGTCTCAAGTCATGACACGGTGGGAGAGACCATCTGCCACGCACCAACTTCTAAAAGCCACTGGAGTGACGCTGCAGATTGTCCCTTGCCTGTGGAATCTTGTAATGTGGAAATTTTAAGCTCCAGAGGATAAGAATGTGCCCTCTGCTATGGGTGGGGGCTGCTAAACCTTAATAAAACATTGCATTCTGTGGTTGCTGTGGACTTGAGCACATAGCACTGGAAGAACAAGATTAAGGGGTACCAACATGGTCCAGTTTGAAAAAGACAAGCCAGGGCAGATATGTTGAGGAGGCTCCATCACCATTCATACCGTCGAACTCACAGCACACATAGGAAGCACAGAACACCCAGTTTCCACATGATTCCATGAATCTCAGCATTTCATTTTCAGACAAAGAAGATTTCTAGCCATCGTGAACACAGAAAAATGCTTTGGAAACAGGAGAGGGTGGGAAGGGAGGAGGAGGAAACTAGTCCATGAGGAAGGGAAAAATTATTCGAAAGAGATAAGCTAACGACTGCAGAGGTTAACTACTGGGCCGTAGGGAAGTTCATGGGGTCTAAAGAGAGGTTCATGGAAAGGAAAGAGTACGGCCAGGGTAAGAGGATGTCAGAAGCACGATAGGAGAGGCAAGAAAGAGGAAGAGGAAAACTGCCATTTTTAATGGTAGTACACTTTAGTCCTCAAACTGCAGGGGTAGGCTATTGATTTCATATTTTGCCAGTGAGTTTCTGCAAAGCCGCTGGCTATCCATGGCTGGAAACAGGCCACTGGGCTTTGATTTGATCTAGCAAGACAAACACTGAGCCCTTAGAGAAGAGAGACCTACCAGAGGCGCTTGACTATATGAAAACTAAACAGAACCTCCTTGATCAGAAGCAGTCTACATGTGGATATCAGGTGCAAGGAAACAACGAGCAAGAGAGGGATGCTGGCAGGCATCCTGGTATCAGCTGGGCACGGACAGAAGGGGAATTCTTAAAAGGGGGAATCTGGACATTCAAGGGGTTTGAGTTATCCTGGAAGTCCAGCAGCAAAGGGTGGGAGTGGCCAGGAAGGGTGCATGGAGATGCATAAGCAGCAGAAGTGGGAGACTGGCAGCGTACCCATGTGCCACGGTTGTGGGGAAACCTGGGCGGGGGCGCGGTTGCACTCCTGCCCTGCTTGGGGCGGGGGAGAGTCCCCTGTGGGCAACTGATTGCTCACTGTGGGAAGGAAACGCCGGACTGGATGGAGGGGCAGAGCAATCCTGCTGTTCGCAGGGGCGAGTTATTCTACCTGGGGGAGCAGCTTGAGGGAGGGGGATGAAGGCGGAATCCGGCCATTTAAGGGGATTTAGGTAACTCTGGGAAGGAACCGGGGGATGGGACTCAATGCGGGGGGCTCCCAGAAGTTAAAGGGCAGTGTTCTTCAACAGGGCGCCCTGCAAAGCCGCTGAACTACAATTTCCACAGTCCTCCAGCCAGCATGGCCGTAGGCCACGCGGCCGAGGATGATGGGAGTTGTAGTCCAACAGGTCCGCGGGCCGCCGGTTGGGGAGGACGCTCAACAGGCGAGGAGGGGAGGCCGTCGACGGCCTTCCATGGGGAGGAGAAACCCCTCCGAGGACGCCCCCCGCCCTCCGCCGCCGCCCCCACGAGCAGCCCGAACGCGCCTCGCTCTCACCTCCCTGGACCCTCCGACGCCGCCATCTTGGACCGTGTGGCGCCCCGCCCCTCCGGCTGCGGGTTGGTTGCGCGGCGCGAGCCCGCCCCTTGGCGCCGCGAATGGAGCCAGGAGACGCCGCGCGGCGGGGGCCCCGCCCACCCGCCCGCCGCTGCTGCTGCTGCTGCTGCATTATTCATGAGCTGGCTTGCCGCCGTGGGAGCCGGCCCCGCTCCAGCATCCGGGTGGGGGAGGGGCGCCTCGGGCGCCTGGGTCCTCTGGGGGCGACTGGGAAGGCGGGCCGCCCGTGTCACGTGGGGGGGGACGAGCGTCGGACGCCTGGGTCCGCCCGAGCAACGACAATGGACTGTTCGGGTCCCCTTCCGAAGTGCGCTCAGTGGGAAGAAGCCTCGGACGCCTGGGTCCTTTCCGCGAACAGCGGGCCGGCCCTTGCGCACCGCCCCGGGCCCGGCGAGCCCAGCTCCCCAGATGCAATTCTTTACAGAGCAAGCGAGCGCTCCTTCTGCTGTTCATGGGCTCCCGCCAGCCAAAGCAACCTTGGACTTCCGTCCCGCAGATTTCGGACACACGCACTCAAATGCCTCCCTCCCCCATTTATGCTTTATCTTCTGGGGAGACCCCAAAAAACCTCTCCCTCTAGAAACCCCAAGACTCCGCATGCCACCTAATCTCCTACTGCAACACACATCAGGGGAAGGCCCCTCTCACTGCCCGAGGCCCTGGAGAGCCACCGGCAGTGCAAGCCAACCATCCCAGACAAACAGTCCGGCTGAGCATAAGTCACCTTCCTCTGCTCTCTTGCACTCAGGGAACAGCTCTGGGGGTTTGATCAGAGCAGCTTCTCCAACCTGATGCCCTGCAGCTTTGCAGCACTGCCATTCCTGGCACAGCTTGTCAGGATGCCATTCTAACCCATCTGGAGGGCACCGGCCTGCAGAAAAATGGGTTTGAGAGTCAGATGTGGCCCAAGCAGAACCAGCTGCAGGTTCCCTCCCAGCCACAAAACTCAGCACATGACTCTGGCTCACTCTTCCCGGCCCTAACCTGCCTCACAAGGTTACCAAGAGGATAAATTGAAGGGAGAGGATTGAAAACACTGCACTGAGCTCCCCAAAGGATGAGGAGTATTCAAAAAGTAACCAAATATAGGAAATGCTAAAGAATCATACCAAGAGGAAAACACAGAGCAGAATATCAGATCGGGCTTCTGCACACAAGACTGAATGCAACATGTGAGCAGACCGTTTCCTCTCACAGATTAATTTCCTCCCCTTAACACTACTCATCTGCTGCCTAAATCCACAATTACAACTCTAAGAAATCATACATAGAATAATGCCTCCCTGTACATTATTTATTATTATTTGTTTGTTCTGTCAAATATTTGGTATAGAGTCTTTTACTTATAGACTCTGCAGGGATGCTGCAGACTGCATTCCTGCTCATACAATGGAACCCCCACCTGTTTGTGCCAAGTCAGCTGCAAAAGCATAAAAGTTTAATTTTTTGTTCGTTTTACTACCAGCGTGCTCAACCACAACGGAGAAATGAACAGATGCAAAACCAGAAACGTCTCGGCATTCTGGTTGCAAAGAAAACCAAATTAGCAAAAGTTCACCCTGTTTATTCAGAAAAGGAAGTGGGCAGAAAACAAGTTGGCTTGGAGGATGTAACAAGGAAGAGAAAACCCGTAACTCTCCACTCCTGCTCAGAACGCCCGGCAACGAGGACTCGCTGCATGAAATAAACCCTCCCTCTTTCTAGCATTTGAATTGTCTCTGAAAGAAAAGGAGTGCTTCCCGAGGAAACCAGTCTCAAACACAGCACCACAGGGAGGCTGTGTTTGAGATCAACACACAGGGATCAACAACAGGAATAAATAAGTGAGCTCTCGGACTGTGACCACAACAGCACTGGTAAAGGTCCAGAGACCTTCTGCAGAATCAGTTGGCAGTGTATCAGTAATGCCGGAAGTGAAACCAACATCCTCAGGAACTCCGCTGAGAAGTGGGGGCTGGCTCTGTTCTACTCCAAGAATCATTAATCAAAGAACCACCCTCGGAGGCAGATCCAGCTAACAGATCGTGCTTCAGTGAAGCAAGCTGGTACAGACAACGGCCGCTGTCTGAATTCTAGAAAAATAACCTTTAAAAGGCAAGGCAGTATTGGCTAATCCCTCCTCTGGTTGAAGTGCTTTTCAGCCAATTCTGACAGCTGACAGACTCTGCGCCTGCTGAAGAGTTCTGTGTAGCCCTGAGGTGTGCAAACCTTCCGAGTTACCCCAGACTTCAGCAGGACAAAATTGCATCAGATCAGCATGATGAGAAAGTTTTGCACACACCTAGTCAAACAGACTGAGCCACTCGGTAATTATTACCTTGCCTTGCCTTGCCTTGCCTTGCCAGGGGTCGTTCTTGCTTTTTTAATGCAAGGCAATTTGCTCACCAAATCCGCTTTCCTCCTCATTTTTCTTGCACATTATGGAATGCATTTCTGCTCAGCCTTCACAGCCTTCATTTGGGTTCTCAGCCAGGCTGCTGTGGTCCCAGGCTGTACTGCAAGCTGACCCAGAAACTGGCCTCCTCTGGCCTGAAGAACTGACCCGAAACCTTGCTCTGTTGCCCAACGAGCTGAAGCAGCGTTGCGCAATCTTCCACCACCCTTACAAAACAATACCCGGATGCGGCTACACTAGCAGCTCAGGGTGCCAGTGTCACATGATACACAACACTAAAAATAAGACTACATTTTGGAACGGGCAAGTCCAGCCTTAACGACTGCCCTCAACACTCTTTATGTAAACTTCTCCCGGTGGCTAGTCGACTTGCGACAGAAGCTGGGACTTGGTTTATGAAACAAAAACGCAGGTCTGACCATTACTGTATTTTCAATATTCACAACACAGGGCCTGCCCTTAAACTTAACTGCAGGCAGTATTAAGGCTGAAAATATTAAAAAAACCAGGAGGGGAGAGACTGAAAGCCTCTGCAACCTTGTCCCTCATTAGATCCCCTCCTGCTGCACACCTGGACAAACTATGCCACGTTGAATGACAATGAAGATCATAAGTTTTGAAAGGCAGAAGGTTCTTGCCCCTAAGAGCATCCAGGTAGGCCCGACCAAGGGCGGACAAGCTAGGCGTGGAACCGCCCGGAAAGCAGCCCCAGTCGGTCGATGTTTTTATGCAAGACACTGTGTAAGACGCAGAGGTACTTCCCGACGTCGGTGTCCCTGGAAAAGTCCCGGAAGAAAAGCCCCGTGGCAGCGTTGAAGGTGAACTTCTGGGGCAGGGGGCTGTTGTCGCGCATGTAGTCCCAGACGCTGAGCAGCAGCAGGTGGACCTCGAAGGGGGCCAGCTGGTCGAAGATCTCGTGCATGTTGCTGAGCACGGGGGGCAGCAGCTGGCCCTCGCCCATGCAGGCCACGAGGGCGCCCGAGGCCTGCAGGTGCCAGGGCGAGCGGGCGGTGTCGTTCTCGCGGGAGGCCTCCCAGTGCGCCATGAGCGTGGCCATGAGGCCGCGGAGCAGCACGGAGCAGTAGCACAGGGCCGGCCGCCCCTCGGCCACCAGGGCCAGCAGCTGGAAGAGCAGCGGGTTGTCCCGGAAGGCCCGCCCGATCTGGATGTCCCGCTCCACCGTGTTGCGGGTGTGCTCTTCGGGCGGCCACACCAGCTCGCTGTTGGTGACGTCCGGGCAGACGGTCTCCACCAGCACCACCGCCACCGTCTTGGCCGCCTCGGGGCTGACGGCGATGCGTGGGGGGGGCTCGGGGCCTGCCCCACGGGCCGCCCCACAGCACTGGAGCAGCAGGCCCAGGAAGGTCTGCACGTGGTGGGAGACCTCCTCCGGCTCTTGCTGGGGGGGCGCGTGGGGCGGCTTGAGGCCCCTCCCAATCACCCCAGCGTGGAAGACGGACCACACGCTGCCCGAGAAGTTCACGGCCGCCATGAAGCGGCGGTTGATGTCCAACAGGGAGATCCGGGCCCCTTCCAGGGCGGCCTCGTTCCCGGCCGCGGGGGGCCCGGCCGCGCCCCCGAAGAGCTCGGCGTTGCCCGGGTGCAAAGCGCCTTCCACCAGGTACTGCAGGATGGCCTTGCCAGCCATGGGCGAGGCCCCGCTCAGGCAGCAGAGGAGGCGGGCGCCGTAGCTGACACCGGTGGGGCACGTGCCGCGCAGCATGGCGAAGAAGTGGTGCACGGCGGAGCGGACGAGGAAGAGGAGGTGGGCCGGCTGGATGGCCTTTGGCGCCGGGCACACGGAGAGGAGCTGGGAGGCCGCCTGGGCCACCTCGGGGCTGCGGTGCAGCAGGAGCTGGCCAAAGTCATGGACGTGCCCCGAGAGGGCCTGGCCCAGCTGGCGGCCCATGGAGGCGGGCCCCTCGCCCTCCCACTGCAGCACCAGGGCCAGGTTCCGGCAGAGCTGGGCCGTGTGCTGCTCGGAGAGGCCGCCCGCGTGCAGCTGGCAGACGCTGGTCTTGACGGTGGCGGGCAGGAGGCTGCTCATGCACGAGCTGAGCACGGCGTAGAGCTGCGTGGCCAGGCTGAGCTCCTCCTGGCTCTGGGCCAGCGTGAGCAGGTAGAAGAGGGCCTCGCTGGCGCAGCTGGGCGTGCAGTAGACGGACAGCAGCACCAGCAGCTGGTGCTGCCAGAGGAAGCGCTTCCTCTCCAGCCGCAGCGTCTCCGCGCACAGCTCCCGCACGTGGCCCTTCAGCTCGTCCAGGAAGGGCACAGCCCGCGGGGGGGGCCTCGGCCAGGTTGGGCGCCCCGCGGTTGTACACCAGCTTCTGCAGGTTGAGCAGCAGCAGCTGGATCACGCGGTCGCA